CCGGCCTCTCCACAGCAAAATGGGATTGCTGAGCGCCGCATTGGCATGGTCATGGATGTCGCTCGTACGTCCATGATCCATGCGGCTGCTCCCCACTTTCTGTGGCCGTTCGCGGTTCAGTACGCAGCGCATCAGATCAACCTCCAGCCCCGGGTCTCCATGCCGGAGACCACCCCCACTCTGCGGTGGACGGGGAAGGTTGGCGATGCGTCTCTGTTCCGTGTCTGGGGATCTCGAGCTTTCGTCCGCGACTTGTCTGCGGACAAGCTGTCCTCTCGTGCCGTTCCCTGCGCCTTCCTTGGCTTCCCCCCTGACGCGCCTGGTTGGCAGTTCTACCACCCCACCTCGCGCCGTGTTCTGTCCTCTCAGGACGTCACGTTTGACGAGTCGGTTCCCTACTACCGTCTCTTCCCCTACCGCACTGCCCCCCTCCCCCCCCCGCCGCTCTTCCTCACGCCAGGTCCTCCCCAGGTAGACCCCCTCCCCCCTCAGGGTCCTGCCCCCTCAGGTGTGTCCCAGGTAGACGCAGTCGAGCCTGTCGAGGTAGCTGTTGACTCTGGTGCTGCTAGGGGTGCTGAGCCTGCGGGTGCTGGGTCTGGGGGTGCTGAGCCGGCGGGTGCTGGGTCTGGGGGTGCTGAGCCTGAGCGTGCGGAGCCTGGGGATGCGGAGCCTGGGGGTGCTGAGCCTGGGGGTGCTGAGCCTGGGGTTGCTGAGTCTGGGGGTGCTAAGACTGGAGGTCCTCCGAGTGTCCCGTTGCGCCGGGAGCCCCTCTCTCCACGGCAGCTTCGTGAGTGGTACGCTCGACGCTGTAGCCGTGCTGCTGGAGCTGGGGGGCCTACTACTGGAGGTGCTGGAGCTGCTGGAGGTGCTGTTGGCATCGTGAGCCTGAGTCTCGTCCTGCGTCGCCTGAGTCTTGTCGTCCGTCGCCTGTTCGTGCTGCTCGCACTGGTCGTCGTGTTCCGCGTCAGCGTCCTCCTGCTGTCCCAGGCACACACCAGATGGCGCTTCGTCCTTCCACTGCTCCACAGCGTGTCCCTCTGCCGTCTCCTCCTGCGTCCTCTCTTCCTGCTCTTGCTGACCCGGAGTCTGACTCTCTTCGTGCTGCTAGTCCTACTGTCACGCGTCTCCTGGCCACTGTTGTCACTGACCCTTCCTTTGAGTCCACTGCTGCGTCTGCCTTAGTTGCTGAGCTTGTCGACTTTGCTGCTCACTGTCGTCTTGACTACGCTGCTAGTCTTGTTGCTGAGTCTGAGTCTGTCTGTCCTCCGTCCATCGGGGGTGAGTGTGCTCTTAGCACGGACGTCCTTGAGGACAGACAGGAGGAGTTTGAGTGCTTTGCCGCTGCTTTACCTCATCTCGTGTCCATGCTGATTGCCCCTGAGGGAGACCCGGATGCACCACACATCCCGACCCCGCGCTCTTACGCAGAGGCAATAGAGGGTCCCTACTCCTCTCAGTGGCAGTCAGCCATGGACGCAGAGATGGCTTCCTGGAAGTCCACAGCCACCTACGTCGACGAGGTTCCCCCGCCTGGGGCGAACATCGTCAGTGGCATGTGGATTTTCAGGGTGAAGCGGCCGCCGGGTTCTCCGCCTGTCTTCAAGGCGCGTTACGTTGCACGAGGCTTCAGTCAGCGTGAGGGAGTTGACTTCTTCCAGACCTTCTCCCCTACCCCGAAGATGACCACTCTTCGGGTTCTGCTGCACGTCGCCGCTCAGCGTGACTACAAGCTCCACTCTCTTGACTTCAGCACTGCTTTCCTACAGGGCAGCCTGCACGAGGAGATCTGGCTGCGCCGCCCACCTGGCTTCACTGGGTCGTTTCCTCCTGGCACCCAGTGGAGCCTCCGGCCGCCAGTCTACGGTCTCCGCCAGGCACCCCGTGAGTGGCATAACACACTGAGGACGACTCTTGCTGCTCTTGGGTTTGCTCCTTCTACTGCTGACCCGTCGCTGTTTCTACGCACCGACACCACTCTGCCGCCGTTCTACGTTCTCGTGTACGTAGACGACCTGGTCTTTGCTACTGCTGACACTGAGGCACTCGCCCACGTGAAGTCGGAGCTGCAGAAGAGACACACGTGCACAGACCTGGGTGAGCTGACAAGCTATCTTGGCTTGCGGATCACCCGGGACAGAGCACAGCGCACCATTACCTTGACTCAGTCACACATGGTGCAGCAGATCCTTCAGCGCTTCCGCTTCACGTACTCCTCGCCACAGCCCACTCCTCTGCCTACGCGCCACTCGCTCTCAGCTCTGCCTTCGGATGAGTCCGTAGAGCCGAGTGGCCCGTATCCAGAGCTTGTGGGCTGCCTCATGTACCTGATGACCTGCACTCGACCTGACCTAGCCTACCCTCTTAGCATCCTAGCACGCTATGTTGCTCCTGGCCGACACAGGAAGGAGCACATGGATGCTGCTAAGAGGGTGTTGCGCTACTTGTGCAGTACGTCACGCATGGGGCTCGTGCCTGGAGGACGGGCTCGAGTTGTCCTCACTGGTCACGGAGACGCTTCTTGGGCTGACGACCTGGCTACTCAGCGGTCGTCACAGGGTTACACCTTCACCTTGGTTCCGGCTCTGTTTCGTGGCGGTCTACCCGCTCGTCCTCTGTTCTCGGCTCCAGCTGTGAGGCCGAGATCTACGTAGAGGCCATGGCTGCACAAGAGTTACGCTGGCTCACCTACCTGCTGACCGACCTGGGAGAGCCGCCTCGTTCTCCTCCAGTTCTGTACGTAGACAACAAGGCCATGCTGGCCTTGTGTCAGGAGCACAGACTGGAGCACAGAACGAAGCACATTGCTCTTCGCTACTTCCTTGCTCGTGATCTGCAGCAGCGTGGTCAGCTGCGCCTTGCTTACGTGGCCTCTCAGGCCAACACTGCTGATATCTTTACCAAGGCACTTCAGCCTTGTGATCATCAGCGGTTCTGTACTATGTTAGGTCTTGTGCCTACCTGGCCTCACTTGCTTACCTCTTGACTTTGCTTGTACTGTGATCTATATATACCTGCACCTGCATGCTTACCCTTGCTAGGTTGCGATCACTGTCTTGCTTGTTCACCTTGATTTATAATCCTGCATGTGAACTGGCCTTGTGGCCTTTGAACTTGTGCTCGAAATGTGTGGTGACGTTGTGATCCACCCTGAGCTTGCTTTGCTTTGCTTGACTGGTCTTGTGACCCCTTGTTCTCCCCCACTTTGCCTATGGGGGTGTGTCAGACATATATGACTTAGTCTGTGTAGGCTATAGTGGGGTAGACACTAAGGGGTACAAGTTTCTAGGGTTTCATATTTGTACTCAACACTTTCCTAGTTCATTCATTCCTCATTTCTTCACACCACGTGCCGACGCAACTCGCACCACGTCTTGCTTCCGACATCTTCGGTCGTGCGCTGACGGAGATCCTGTCGACGGCAGCTGCCACACAAATTTACTCAGAAAATGCCGAAACGAATACTGTTAACTCACGCAATTAATGCGACGACCAGGCCCTCAGATTGGTTTGAGGGTATGCTGATGGATCAGCGTGCCCCGGCCAACGAGGTGTCCAAATCAGCGTTCACGGTTTTTTTTTATACTGATTTTGCCAGTGTAAAAATCATAAGTAAACTGAACCAACAGTGTAAAAAAACAAAAACAATAGCTAAAACACCAGTACATGGTGTTTGGTGTTGTTGCTGTGATAGGTTCCAGCGAGGCTAAACACTTCGGCGCGCACCTGATATCTGTGCAGCGCATGCGAAAAAAATCCAAGTGTGTGGGTGGGGTTTCGTGAATCACGGGAAGGTACAGACTGTACACGCGTACCCTATACCCCCACCCCCCCCCCCACGCGGTGAAGTCCGTTTCAGTGTGACTCATGTCACTATACTGATTCATCAGTGTTACATGTACAGCAACACGCAAAATGGTCAGTGTGGCAAGGTAGGTTATACTGAAATTTCAGTGCAAATTTGAAGCATACGCTGAATTTTCAGGGAAAACGAAAATCACAGCTACAAAATCAGCCTAATCAGCGTGTTTTACGCTGATATCTGAGGGCCTGGCGACGACAGCCAAGGCTGTCCGCCACCAGGGGGGAGGGAGGCCACGGTCCATCTCGACCGTCGAGGGCAAGGATCCGTCGGTGCCGCAGGAGCGCCTTGAAATTTATGGCCGCTAGGAGCAACTACCCGTTCTCCTGGCCGGCTCTTGCGCTGCTCCTGTCACCACGGCATCCTTCCCTGTCCCCCCCCCCGAGGGGTAATACACTCAAAAAAACGGGGAAGCTAGGAAAGTAGCTCTGATACCAAGTGTTATGATTTGTACTAAACAGAGTGCGCGGAAGACTTTATAAAAAGGGTGTGAAGTACAGAATGACAAAAATGATAAAGGAGCAAGCATTTATAGGGTCGAAACCGTGCTAGGCGAGGACCTCGGGACGTGGATGGGTTGGAAGTGTCGTGATTGGTGCGGGGCGACTCGGTAGTGGTTCGGTCCGAAATGTAGGCCGAACCTGAAACTGACGCGAAGTGCTTGGGGCTGTACTCCCTAGGAGCAGACTCAGAAATGAATAGCTATATTCATTACAATTTCCCTGTGCAAGCTCAACCAGACCACATTGTCAGACAATGTGTATTTGTCGAACATATCAAGGACGATTCCAATTGCTATGGGAGTCGCACACGGTTCGCGAAATTTATCGATCAGCAGATTGGCGTGGAGGCTGGCAACGACCGTAACGGGCCCTCCACCCATCTCGATTTCACCTACAGTCAGCGCCAGATCACCTACGGTCCACGTCAGACAGCCGCAGTGGATGTACCAGCCAGATGCATGTGGGTTTGCTACATGAGTTACCAGCACTGCTACCTGCATGTGTGTAAACGCCAATCAGTGTTGCCCAAATTACTCACACGGCTCGCTCGCTACGCACATGTGTAGGTTTCCTAGCGCACTGCTCTCGCTTTCTCGTCATTGGGCAATCGGTCCGCGTCGCTTCACCGCGTCGCACTCATGATCGCCGCGTCATTCTGGGCTCCGCGCCTCGCGCCGTCGCCGTGCTCAGCGCAACCCGTCGGCCACCCGCCGCGCGCTTCCAGTGCCACGCTCTCCCCGTCTTGCGCCGCTCCCAGCGGCCTCTGCGCCGCTGCCCCGCTGAAGCTGCCCGCCTGCACCCCCACGCGCAACCCGCGCGGACGAGAGGCGAGAGGAATCGAGGATCGCCCGGGAGTTGCGAGCAGAAGGGAGGAGCGCAGGGTGGATGAGCGCGGGTCAGATGAGCGCGCGCGAGGGGGGAAGAAGAGAGGCAGCAAGAGAGTGGCGGACGGCGAGGGGGAGACGAATGCGCGCAGTCGCAGGGAGCAGCGGCGGGCGCGGGAGCGCGCTCTGCTGAAAGCGCTGGTGGCGGCGAGGCAGGGCGGACAGGCAACTGCGGGGGAGCGCGCTGCTGCAGCCGAGCGGATGGTAGCCCCCGCGCTGATGCGCGCCATGCGGCGGAAGCAAGAAGAGGGGGGAGTGGCGGAGTGGTCAGGGGGCGAGGGGGAGGACGAGAGGATGGAGGTGGTGGCAGTGGAGGGCATGGGGGGGACGGAGGGGGAGCAGCAGGGCGGGGGAGAGGGAGAGGGACGGTGGACGGGAGTGGAGGTGAATGTGCGGCACGTGGCGGCTGCTGTGCAGGTGTGTGTGTCAGTGTGGGTGTGCGTGTGTGTGCATATGTGTGCGTGCATGCGTGTGTGTGTGTGTGTGTGTGGGTGTGTGTGTGTGTGTGTGGGTGTGTGTGTGTGTGTGTGTGGGTGTGTGTGTCAGTGTGGGTGTGCGTGTGTGTGCATATGTGTGCGTGCATGCGTGTGTGTGTGTGTGTGTGTGTGTGTGTGTGTGTGTGGGTGTGTGTGTGTGTGTGTGTGTGGGTGTGTGTGTCAGTGTGGGTGTGCGTGTGTGTGCATATGTGTGCGTGCATGCGTGTGTGTGTGTGTGGGTGTGTGTGTGTGTGTGTGTGGTGTGTGTGTATGCCGCGTGGGGTGGTGGATTGGGAGGTCCGCACAGGGGCGGATGGAGTGAAGCTGCCATACGCAACACCGCACCGCATGTCATTCCTTAACCTCCGCCCTGTCCTGTCCCTCATGTCTGCTCTGCTCTCATCCCTCCATACTGCATGCGACGTGGCTCATCCCCCCCACCACATGCGCAGGTGTGTGTGGATGCGGGTGACATGGGCCGCGCAGAGCAGCTCGTGCGTCTGGCGCGGGCGGTGGGGGGAGCAGCGCAGCCCAACTGCCGAGTGCTCACAGTGATGGCGCGCGCCTACTGCCAGGCGGGGCAGCGCCGACAGGCCTATGCGCTGCTGCAGGTCAGCCAGCCATGCATGCCGCTGGGCATGTATGCCGCTGGGCATGTGTGCCGCTGGGCATGCATGCCGCTGGGCATGTGTGCCGCTGCCGCTGGGCATATGACCCAGTACACCCAATGCCCGTGGCCCAGTGCCCCATGCTCTCATGTTCTCCCCCCCATGTTCTCCCCCATCCCATGCTCTGTACTTTACTTTACTCTCCCATGCTCCCACGCCCTTCCCCTCCCACTCCTTTGCGTGCCCGTGCCACCATGCGTGTGCCGCTGGCAGGACATGGAGCAGAGGGGCCCGCCACCGGATGCAGCGCTGTTCCACGTGGTGATGGAGGGCGAGCGCCACGCGCACGCCGTGACGGCGCTGCTGGCGGCCATGGCGCGCTGCCACGTGGCGCCCACCGAGAGGACCTTCAGGTGCTCCCCGCCTCGCCATGCTCACCGCCATGCTTCTCAACAACATCCCACTATGCTCATGCCATGTGAATGAAACCATCCAACCTTTGCCGTTTGAACTCAGCATGAGCTGCAGCTCTTTTGACACAGCCAGTGTTCCAACCTCTTTTGACACAGCCAGTGTTCCAACCTCTTTTGACACAGCCTATGTTCCAACCTCTTTTGACACAGCCTGTGTTCCAACCTCTTTTGACACAGCCTATGTTCCAACCTCTTTTGACACAGCCTGTGTTCCAACCTCTTTTGACACAGCCAGTGTTCCAACCTCTTTTGACACAGCCTGTGTTCCAACCTCTTTTGACACAGCCTATGTTCCAACCTCTTTTGACACAGCCTGTGTTCCAACCTCTTTTGACACATCCTGTGTTACAACCTCTTTTGACACAGCCTGTGTTCCAACCTCTTTTGACACAGCCTGTGTTCGAAGACGCCCGGTTCGTCTGGACGAGGCAGGGGCGGGTTGGGCTGAGAGGCTGGGATGCACTCCACCCGTGATGAACGGGTTCGCCCTGGGCGCAACTGAGCTCAGAACTCGTTCATGCTTACAACACGGCCTCCACTCGTGCCTACCACACGGCCTCCACTCGTGCCTACCACACGGCCTCCACTCGTGCCTACCACACGGCCTCCACTCGTGCCCCTACATCCGCTCATCCACTCGCCCATTGACCCCCCCGTGCGTGTGGCAGTGTGGCGATGGCATGCATGGGGCGGGCGGGGGACGTGGCGGCAGCGGAAGCACTGTGGCGCGACATGACCGCCGCCCGCATCGCCCCCTCGCCCTTCGCCTTCTGCGCCCTCGCCCATGGTGCGTGCTGCATGCATGGTGCGTGCTGCATGCATGGTGTGTGCTGCATGCATGGTGTGTGCTGCATGCATGGTGTGTGCTGCATGCATGGTGTGTGCTGCATGCATGGTGCGTGCTGCATGCATGGTGCGTGCTGCATGCATGGTGCGTGATGCATGCATGGTGCGTGCTGCATGCATGGTGCGTGCTGCATGCATGGTGTGTGCGTGCTGCATGCATGGTGCGTGCTGCATGCATGGTGCGTGATGCATGCATGGTGCGTGCTGCATGCATGGTGCGTGCTGCATGCATGGTGTGTGCTGCATGCATGGTGGGTGCTGCATGCATGGTGTGTGCTGCATGCATGGTGCGTGATGCATGCATGGTGCGTGCTGCATGCATGGTGCGTGCTGCATGCATGGTGCGTGCTGCATGCATGGTGCGTGCTGCATGCATGGTGCGTGATGCATGCATGGTGCGTGCTGCATGCATGGTGGGTGCTGCATGCATGGTGGGTGCTGCATGCATGGTGCGTGCTGCATGCATGGTGCGTGCTGCATGCATGGTGCGTGCTGCATGCATGGTGCGTGATGCATGCATGGTGCGTGCTGCATGCATGGTGCGTGCTGCATGCATGGTGCGTGCTGCATGCATGGTGCGTGATGCATGCATGGTGCGTGCTGCATGCATGGTGGGTGCTGCATGCATGGTGGGTGCTGCATGCATGGTGCGTGCTGCATGCATGGTGCGTGCTGCATGCATGGTGCGTGCTGCATGCATGGTGTGTGCTGCATGCATGGTGTGTGCTGCATGCATGGTGCGTGCTGCATGCATGGTGTGTGCTGCATGCATGGTGCGTGATGCATGCATGGTGCGTGCTGCATGCATGGTGCGTGCTGCATGCATGGTGCGTGCTGCATGCATGGTGCGTGATGCATGCATGGTGCGTGCTGCATGCATGGTGCGTGCTGCATGCATGGTGCGTGCTGCATGCATGGTGCGTGATGCATGCATGGTGCGTGCTGCATGCATGGTGGGTGCTGCATGCATGGTGGGTGCTGCATGCATGGTGCGTGCTGCATGCATGGTGCGTGCTGCATGCATGGTGTGTGCTGCATGCATGGTGCGTGCTGCATGCATGGTGCGTGCTGCATGCATGGTGTGTGCGTGCTGCATGCATGGTGCGTGCTGCATGCATGGTGCGTGCTGCATGCATGGTGCGTGCTGCATGCATGGTGCGTGCTGCATGCATGGTGTGTGCGTGCTGCATGCATGGTGCGTGCTGCATGCATGGTGCGTGCTGCATGCATGGTGCGTGCTGCATGCATGGTGTGTGCGTGCTGCATGCATGGTGCGTGCTGCATGCATGGTGCGTGCTGCATGCATGGTGGGTGCTGCATGCATGGTGGGTGCTGCATGCATGGTGCGTGCTGCATGCATGGTGCGTGATGCATGCATGGTGCGTGCTGCATGCATGGTGGGTGCTGCATGCATGGTGGGTGCTGCATGCATGGTGCGTGCTGCATGCATGGTGCGTGCTGCATGCATGGTGCATGCTGCATGCATGGTGCGTGCTGCATGCATGGTGGGTGCTGCATGCATGGTGGGTGCTGCATGCATGGTGCGTGCTGCATGCATGGTGCGTGATGCATGCATGGTGCGTGCTGCATGCATGGTGGGTGCTGCATGCATGGTGGGTGCTGCATGCATGGTGCGTGCTGCATGCATGGTGCGTGCTGCATGCATGGTGCGTGCTGCATGCATGGTGCGTGCTGCATGCATGGTGTGTGCGTGCTGCATGCATGGTGCGTGCTGCATGCATGGTGCGTGATGCATGCATGGTGGGTGCTGCATGCATGGTGCGTGCTGCATGCATGGTGCGTGCTGCATGCATGGTGCGTGCTGCATGCATGGTGCGTGCTGCATGCATGGTGCGTGATGCATGCATGGTGTGTGCTGCATGCATGGTGGGTGCTGCATGCATGGTGGGTGCTGCATGCATGGTGGGTGCTGCATGCATGGTGCGTGCTGCATGCATGGTGCGTGCTGCATGCATGGTGCGTGCTGCATGCATGGTGCGTGCTGCATGCATGGTGTGTGCGTGCTGCATGCATGGTGTGTGCGTGCTGCATGCATGGTGCGTGCTGCATGCATGGTGCGTGCTGCATGCATGGTGCGTGCTGCATGCATGGTGTGTGCGTGCTGCATGCATGGTGCGTGCTGCATGCATGGTGCGTGCTGCATGCATGGTGCGTGCTGCATGCATGGTGGGTGCTGCATGCATGGTGGGTGCTGCATGCATGGTGCGTGATGCATGCATGGTGCGTGCTGCATGCATGGTGTGTGCTGCATGCATGGTGCGTGCTGCATGCATGGTGCGTGCTGCATGCATGGTGCGTGCTGCATGCATGGTGGGTGCTGCATGCATGGTGCGTGATGCATGCATGGTGCGTGCTGCATGCATGGTGCGTGCTGCATGCATGGTGCGTGCTGCATGCATGGTGCGTGCTGCATGCATGGTGCGTGATGCATGCATGGTGCGTGCTGCATGCATGGTGTGTGCTGCATGCATGGTGCGTGCTGCATGCATGGTGCGTGCTGCATGCATGGTGTGTGCGTGCTGCATGCATGGTGCGTGCTGCATGCATGGTACGTGCTGCATGCATGGTGCGTGATGCATGCATGGTGTGTGCCGCATGCATGGTGGGTGCCGCATGCATGGTGGGTGCTGCATGCATGGTGGGTGCTGCATGCATGGTGTGTGCTGCATGCATGGTGCGTGCTGCATGCATGGTGTGTGCGTGCTGCATGCATGGTGCGTGCTGCATGCATGGTACGTGCTGCATGCATGGTGCGTGATGCATGCATGGTGTGTGCCGCATGCATGGTGGGTGCCGCATGCATGGTGGGTGCTGCATGCATGGTGGGTGCTGCATGCATGGTGCGTGCTGCATGCATGGTGCGTGATGCATGCATGGTGCGTGCTGCATGCATGGTGGGTGCTGCATGCATGGTGGGTGCTGCATGCATGGTGCGTGCTGCATGCATGGTGCGTGCTGCATGCATGGTGTGTGCGTGCTGCATGCATGGTGCGTGCTGCATGCATGGTGCGTGCTGCATGCATGGTGGGTGCTGCATGCATGGTGGGTGCTGCATGCATGGTGCGTGCTGCATGCATGGTGCGTGCTGCATGCATGGTGCGTGCTGCATGCATGGTGCGTGCTGCATGCATGGTGCGTGCTGCATGCATGGTGTGTGCTGCATGCATGGTGTGTGCTGCATGCATGGTGGGTGCTGCATGCATGGTGGGTGCTGCATGCATGGTGCGTGATGCATGCATGGTGCGTGCTGCATGCATGGTGCGTGCTGCATGCATGGTGCGTGCTGCATGCATGGTGCGTGCTGCATGCATGGTGCGTGCTGCATGCATGGTGTGTGCTGCATGCATGGTGTGTGCTGCATGCATGGTGGGTGCTGCATGCATGGTGGGTGCTGCATGCATGGTGCGTGATGCATGCATGGTGCGTGCTGCATGCATGGTGCGTGCTGCATGCATGGTGCGTGCTGCATGCATGGTGCGTGATGCATGCATGGTGGGTGCTGCATGCATGGTGGGTGCTGCATGCATGGTGCGTGCTGCATGCATGGTGCGTGCTGCATGCATGGTGCGTGCTGCATTCATGGTGCGTGCTGCATGCATGGTGCGTGCTGCATGCATGGTGCGTGCTGCATGCATGGTGCGTGCTGCATGCATGGTGCGTGCTGCATGCATGGTGCGTGCTGCATTCATGGTGCGTGCTGCATGCATGGTGCGTGCTGCATGCATGGTGCGTGCTGCATGCATGGTGGGTGCTGCATGCATGGTGGGTGCTGCATGCATGATGCGTGCTGCATGCATGGTGCGTGCTGCATGCATGGTGTGTGCTGCATGCATGGTGCGTGCTGCATGCATGGTGCGTGCTGCATGCATGGTGCGTGCTGCATGCATGGTGCGTGCTGCATGCATGGTGCGTGCTGCATGCATGGTGCGTGATGCATGCATGGTGCGTGCTGCATGCATGGTGGGTGCTGCATGCATGGTGGGTGCTGCATGCATGGTGCGTGCTGCATGCATGGTGCGTGCTGCATGCATGGTGCGTGATGCATGCATGGTGCGTGCTGCATGCATGGTGGGTGCTGCATGCATGGTGGGTGCTGCATGCATGGTGCGTGCTGCATGCATGGTGCGTGCTGCATGCATGGTGCGTGCTGCATGCATGGTGCGTGCTGCATGCATGGTGCGTGCTGCATGCATGGTGCGTGCTGCATGCATGGTGCGTGCTGCATGCATGGTGCGTGCTGCATGCGTGGTGCGTGCTGCATGCGTGGTGCGTGCTGCATGCGTGGTGCGTGCTGCATGCGTGGTGCGTGCTGCATGCATGGTGCGTGCTGCATGCATGGTGCGTGCTGCATGCATGGTGCGTGCTGCATCCATGGTGCGTGCAGCATGCATGGTGCGTGCTGCATGCATGGTGCGTGCTGCATGCATGGTGCGTGCTGCATGCATGGTGCGTGCTGCATGCATGGTGCGTGCTGCATCCATGGTGCGTGCTGCATGCATGGTGCGTGCAGCATGCATGGTGCGTGCTGCATGCATGGTGCGTGATGCATGCATGGTGCGTGCTGCATGCATGGTGCGTGCTGCATCCATGGTGCGTGCTGCATCCATGGTGCGTGCTGCATGCATGGTGGGTGCTGCATGCATGGTGCGTGCTGCATGCATGGTGCGTGCTGCATGCATGGTGCGTGCTGCATGCATGGTGCGTGCTGCATGCATGGTGGGTGCTGCATGCATGGTGGGTGCTGCATGCATGGTGCGTGCTGCATGCATGGTGCGTGCTGCATGCATGGTGCGTGCTGCATGCATGGTGCGTGCTGCATCCATGGTGCGTGCAGCATGCATGGTGTGTGCTGCATGCATGGTGCGTGCTGCATGCATGGTGCGTGCTGCATGCATGGTGCGTGCTGCATGCATGGTGCGTGCTGCATCCATGGTGCGTGCTGCATCCATGGTGCGTGCAGCATGCATGGTGCGTGCTGCATGCATGGTGCGTGCTGCATGCATGGTGCGTGCTGCATGCATGGTGCGTGCTGCATGCATGGTGCGTGCTGCATGCATGGTGCGTGCTGCATGCATGGTGCGTGCTGCATGCATGGTGTGTGCGTGCTGCATGCATGGTGTGTGCGTGCTGCATGCATGGTGCGTGCTGCATGCATGGTGCGTGCTGCATGCATGGTGGGTGCTGCATGCATGGTGGGTGCTGCATGCATGGTGCGTGCTGCATGCATGGTGCGTGCTGCATGCATGGTGCGTGCTGCATGCATGGTGCGTGCTGCATGCATGGTGCGTGCTGCATGCATGGTGTGTGCTGCATGCATGGTGTGTGCTGCATGCATGGTGGGTGCTGCATGCATGGTGGGTGCTGCATGCATGGTGCGTGATGCATGCATGGTGCGTGCTGCATGCATGGTGCGTGCTGCATGCATGGTGCGTGCTGCATGCATGGTGCGTGCTGCATGCATGGTGCGTGCTGCATGCATGGTGTGTGCTGCATGCATGGTGTGTGCTGCATGCATGGTGGGTGCTGCATGCATGGTGGGTGCTGCATGCATGGTGCGTGATGCATGCATGGTGCGTGCTGCATGCATGGTGCGTGCTGCATGCATGGTGCGTGCTGCATGCATGGTGCGTGATGCATGCATGGTGGGTGCTGCATGCATGGTGGGTGCTGCATGCATGGTGCGTGCTGCATGCATGGTGCGTGCTGCATGCATGGTGCGTGCTGCATTCATGGTGCGTGCTGCATGCATGGTGCGTGCTGCATGCATGGTGCGTGCTGCATGCATGGTGCGTGCTGCATTCATGGTGCGTGCTGCATGCATGGTGCGTGCTGCATGCATGGTGCGTGCTGCATGCATGGTGGGTGCTGCATGCATGGTGGGTGCTGCATGCATGATGCGTGCTGCATGCATGGTGCGTGCTGCATGCATGGTGCGTGCTGCATGCATGGTGCGTGATGCATGCATGGTGCGTGCTGCATGCATGGTGGGTGCTGCATGCATGGTGGGTGCTGCATGCATGGTGCGTGCTGCATGCATGGTGCGTGCTGCATGCATGGTGCGTGCTGCATGCATGGTGCGTGCTGCATGCATGGTGCGTGCTGCATGCATGGTGCGTGCTGCATGCATGGTGGGTGCTGCATGCATGGTGCGTGCTGCATGCATGGTGTGTGCTGCATGCATGGTGGGTGCTGCATGCATGGTGCGTGCAGCATGCATGGTGCGTGCTGCATGCATGGTGCGTGCTGCATGCGTGGTGCGTGCTGCATGCGTGGTGCGTGCTGCATGCATGGTGCGTGCTGCATGCATGGTGCGTGCTGCATCCATGGTGCGTGCAGCATCCATGGTGCGTGCTGCATGCATGGTGCGTGCTGCATGCATGGTGCGTGCTGCATGCATGGTGCGTGCAGCATGCATGGTGCGTGCAGCATGCATGGTGCGTGATGCATGCATGGTGCGTGCTGCATGCATGGTGCGTGCTGCATGCATGGTGCGTGCTGCATGCATGGTGGGTGCTGCATGCATGGTGCGTGCTGCATGCATGGTGCGTGCTGCATGCATGGTGCGTGCTGCATGCATGGTGCGTGATGCATGCATGGTGCGTGCTGCATGCATGGTGGGTGCTGCATGCATGGTGGGTGCTGCATGCATGGTGCGTGCTGCATGCATGGTGCGTGCTGCATGCATGGTGCGTGCTGCATGCATGGTGCGTGCTGCATCCATGGTGCGTGCAGCATGCATGGTGTGTGCTGCATGCATGGTGCGTGCTGCATGCATGGTGCGTGCTGCATGCATGGTGCGTGCTGCATGCATGGTGCGTGCTGCATCCATGGTGCGTGCTGCATCCATGGTGCGTGCAGCATGCATGGTGCGTGCTGCATGCATGGTGCGTGCTGCATGCATGGTGCGTGCTGCATGCATGGTGCGTGCTGCATGCATGGTGCGTGCTGCATGCATGGTGCGTGCTGCATGCATGGTGCGTGCTGCATGCATGGTGCGTGCTGCATCCATGGTGCGTGCTGCATGCATGGTGTGTGCAGCATGCATGGTGTGTGCTGCATGCATGGTGCGTGCTGCATGCATGGTGCGTGCTGCATGCATGGTGCGTGCTGCATGCATGGTGCGTGCTGCATGCATGGTGCGTGCTGCATGCATGGTGCGTGATGCATGCATGGTGCGTGCTGCATGCATGGTGGGTGCTGCATGCATGGTGCGTGCTGCATGTATGGTGCGTGCTGCATCCATGGTGCGTGCTGCATCCATGGTGTGTGCTGCATGCATGGTGTGTGCTGCATGCATGGTGGGTGCTGCATGCATGGTGCGTGCTGCATGTATGGTGCGTGCTGCATGCATGGTGCGTGCTGCATGCATGGTGGGTGCTGCATGCATGGTGCGTGCTGCATGTATGGTGCGTGCTGCATGCATGGTGCGTGATGCATGCATGGTGCGTGCTGCATGCATGGTGGGTGCTGCATGCATGGTGCGTGCTGCATGTATGGTGCGTGCTGCATCCATGGTGCGTGCTGCATCCATGGTGTGTGCTGCATGCATGGTGTGTGCTGCATGCATGGTGTGTGCTTTATGCATGGTGCGTGCTGCATGCATGGTGCGTGCTGCATGCATGGTGCGTGCTGCATGCATGGTGCGTGATGCATGCATGGTGCGTGCTGCATGCATGGTGGGTGCTGCATGCATGGTGCGTGCTGCATCCATGGTGCGTGCTGCATCCATGGTGTGTGCTGCATGCATGGTGTGTGCTGCATGCATGGTGGGTGCTGCATGCATGGTGCGTGCTGCATGTATGGTGCGTGCTGCATGCATGGTGCGTGCTGCATGCATGGTGGGTGCTGCATGCATGGTGCGTGCTGCATGTATGGTGCGTGCTGCATGCATGGTGCGTGATGCATGCATGGTGCGTGCTGCATGCATGGTGGGTGCTGCATGCATGGTGCGTGCTGCATGTATGGTGCGTGCTGCATCCATGGTGCGTGCTGCATCCATGGTGTGTGCTGCATGCATGGTGTGTGCTGCATGCATGGTGCGTGCTGCATGCATGGTGTGTGCTGCATGCATGGTGCGTGCTGCATGCATGGTGTGTGCTGCATGCATGGTGTGTGCTGCATGCATGGTGTGTGCTTCATGCATGGTGCGTGCTGCATGCATGGTGTGTGCTGCATGCATGGTGCGTGCTGCATGTATGGTGCGTGCTGCATCCATGGTGCGTGCTGCATCCATGGTGTGTGCTGCTTGCATGGTGTGTGCTGCATGCATGGTGCGTGCTGCATGCATGGTGGGTGCTGCATGCATGGTGCGTGCTGCATGTATGGTGCGTGCTGCATCCATGGTGCGTGCTGCATCCATGGTGTGTGCTGCATGCATGGTGTGTGCTGCATGCATGGTGCGTGCTGCATGCATGGTGTGTGCAGCATGCATGGTGCGTGCTGCATGCATGGTGTGTGCAGCATCCATGGTGTGTGCTGCATGCATGGTGTGTGCTGCATGCATGGTGCGTGCTGCATGCATGGTGCGTGCTGCATGCATGTTGCGTGCTGCATGCATGGTGTGTGCTGCATGCATGGTGTGTGCTGCATGCATGGTGCGTGCTGCATGCATGGTGTGTGCTGCATGCATGGTGCGTGCTGCATGCATGGTGTGTGCTGCATGCATGGTGCGTGCTGCATGCATGGTGTGTGCTGCATGCATGGTTGTGCTGCATCCATGGTGTGTGCTGCATGCATGGTGTGTGCTGCATGCATGGTGCGTGCTGCATGCATGGTGCGTGCTGCATGCATGGTGCGTGCTGCATGCATGGTGTGTGCTGCATGCATGGTTGTGCTGCATCCATGGTGTGTGCTGCATGCATGGTGTGTGCTGCATGCATGGTGCGTGCTGCATGCATGGTGCGTGCAGCATGCATGGTGTGTGCTTCATGCATGGTGCGTGCTTCATGCATGGTGTGTGCTTCATGCATGGTGCGTGCTGCATGCATGGTGCGTGCTGCTTGCATGGTGTGTGCTGCATGCATGGTGCGTGCTGCATGCATGGTGTGTGCAGCATGCATGGTGTGTGCTTCATGCATGGTGCGTGCTTCATGCATGGTGCGTGCTTCATGCATGGTGCGTGCTGCATGCATGGTGCGTGCTGCATGCATGGTGCGTGCTGCATGCATGGTGCGTGCTGCATGCATGGTGTGTGCTGCATGCATGGTGCGTGCTGCATGCATGGTGTGTGCAGCATGCATGGTTGTGCTGCATCCATGGTGTGTGCTGCATGCATGGTGTGTGCTGCTTGCATGGTGTGTGCTTCATGCATGGTGTGTGCTGCATGCATGGTGCGTGCTGCATGCATGGTGCGTGCTGCATGCATGGTTGTGCTGCATCCATGGTGTGTGCTGCATGCATGGTGTGTGCTTCATGCATGGTGCGTGCTGCATGCATGGTGCGTGCTGCATGCATGGTGTGTGCTGCATGCATGGTGCGTGCTGCATGCATGGTGCGTGCTGCATGCATGGTGTGTGCTGCATGCATGGTGCGTGCTGCATGCATGGTGTGTGCAGCATGCATGGTGCGTGCTTCATGCATGGTGTGTGCTTCATGCATGGTGCGTGCTGCATGCATGGTGCGTGCTGCATGCATGGTGCGTGCTGCATGCATGGTGTGTGCTGCATGCATGGTGCGTGCTGCATGCATGGTGCGTGCTGCTTGCATGGTGTGTGCTGCATGCATGGTGCGTGCTGCATGCATGGTGTGTGCAGCATGCATGGTGTGTGCTTCATGCATGGTGCGTGCTTCATGCATGGTGCGTGCTTCATGCATGGTGCGTGCTGCATGCATGGTGCGTGCTGCATGCATGGTGCGTGCTGCATGCATGGTGCGTGCTGCATGCATGGTGCGTGCTGCATGCATGGTGTGTGCTGCTTGCATGGTGTGTGCAGCATGCATGGTTGTGCTGCATGCATGGTGTGTGCTGCTTGCATGGTGTGTGCTGCATGCATGGTGCGTGCTGCATGCATGGTGCGTGCAGCATGCATGGTGTGTGCTGCTTGCATGGTGTGTGCAGCATGCATGGTTGTGCTGCATGCATGGTGTGTGCTGCTTGCATGGTGTGTGCTGCATGCATGGTGCGTGCTGCATGCATGGTGCGTGCAGCATGCATGGTGTGTGCTGCTTGCATGGTGTGTGCTGCTTGCATGGTTGTGCTGCATCCATGGTGTGTGCTGCATGCATGGTGCGTGCTGCATGCATGGTGCGTGCTGCATGCATGGTGTGTGCTGCTTGCATGGTGTGTGCAGCATGCATGGTTGTGCGTGTGTGCTGCATGCATGGTGTGTGCTGCTTGCATGGTGTGTGCAGCATGCATGGTTGTGCTGCTTGCATGGTGTGTGCTGCTTGCATGGTGCGTGCTGCATGCATGGTGCGTGCTGCATGCATGGTGCGTGCTGCATGCATGGTGCGTGCAGCATGCATGGTGTGTGCAGCATGCATGGTTGTGCTGCATCCATGGTGTGTGCTGCATGCATGGTGTGTGCTGCATGCATGGTGCGTGCTGCATGCATGGTGTGTGCTGCTTGCATGGTGTGTGCTGCTTGCATGGTTTGTGCTGCTTGCATGGTGTGTGCTGCATGCATGGTGTGTGCTGCTTGCATGGTGCGTGCTGCTTGCATGGTGTGTGCTGCTTGCATGGTGCGTGCTGCATGCATGGTGCGTGCTGCATGCATGGTGTGTGCTGCTTGCATGGTGTGTGCTGCATGCATGGTGCGTGCTGCATGCATGGTGCGTGCTGCATGCATGGTGTGTGCTGCATGCATGGTGCGTGCTGCATGCATGGTGTGTGCTGCTTGCATGGTGTGTGCTGCATGCATGGTGCGTGCTGCATGCATGGTGCGTGCTGCATGCATGGTTGTGCTGCATCCATGGTGTGTGCTGCATGCATGGTGTGTGCTGCATGCATGGTGTGTGCTGCTTGCATGGTGTGTGCTGCATGCATGGTGTGTGCTGCTTGCATGGTGTGTGCTGCATGCATGGTGCGTGCTGCATGCATGGTGTGTGCTGCTTGCATGGTGTGTGCTGCATGCATGGTGTGTGCTGCATGCATGGTGTGTGCTGCATGCATGGTGTGTGCTGCATGCATGGTGTGTGCTGCTTGCATGGTGTGTGCTGCTTGCATGGTGTGTGCTGCTTGCATGGTGTGTGCTGCATGCATGGTGCGTGCTGCATGCATGGTGCGTGCTGCTTGCATGGTGCGTGCTGCATGCATGGTGCGTGCTGCTTGCATGGTGTGTGCTGCTTGCATGGTGTGTGCTGCATGCATGGTGCGTGCTGCTTGCATGGTGCGTGCTGCATGCATGGTGCGTGCTGCATGCATGGTGCGTGCTGCATGCATGGTGCGTGCTGCATGCATGGTGCGTGCTGCATGCATGGTGCGTGCTGCATGCATGGTGCGTGCTGCATGCATGGTGCGTGCTGCATGCATGGTGCGTGCTGCATGCATGGTGCGTGCTGCATGCATGGTGCGTGCTGCATGCATGGTGTGTGCTGCATGCATGGTGTGTGCTGCATGCATGGTGTGTGCTTCATGCATGGTGCGTGCTGCATGCATGGTGCGTGCTGCATGCATGGTGTGTGCTGCTTGCATGGTGCGTGCTGCTTGCATGGTGTGTGCTGCATGCATGGTGCGTGCTGCATGCATGGTGCGTGCTGCATGCATGGTGCGTGCTGCTTGCATGGTGCGTGCTGCTTGCATGGTGCGTGCTGCATGCATGGTGCGTGCTGCATGCATGGTGCGTGCTGCATGCATGGTGCGTGCTGCATGCATGGTGCGTGCTGCATGCATGGTGCGTGCTGCTTGCATGGTGCGTGCTGCTTGCATGGTGCGTGCTGCTTGCATGGTGCGTGCTGCTTGCATGGTGCGTGCTGCTTGCATGGTGCGTGCTGCATGCATGGTGCGTGCTGCATGCATGGTGCGTGCTGCATGCATGGTGCGTGCTGCATGCATGGTGCGTGCTGCATGCATGGTGCGTGCTGCATGCATGGTGCGTGCTGCATGCATGGTGCGTGCTGCATGCATGGTGCGTGCTGCATGCATGGTGCGTGCTGCATGCATGGTGCGTGCTGCATGCATGGTGCGTGCTGCATGCATGGTGCGTGCTGCATGCATGGTGCGTGCTGCATGCATGGTGCGTGCTGCATGCATGGTGCGTGCTGCATGCATGGTGCGTGCTGCATGCATGGTGCGTGCTGCATGCATGGTGCGTGCTGCATGCATGGTGCGTGCTGCATGCATGGTGCGTGCTGCATGCATGGTGCGTGCTGCATGCATGGTGTGTGCTGCATGCATGGTGTGTGCTGCATGCATGGTGTGTGCTGCATGCATGGTGTGTGCTGCATGCATGGTGTGTGCTGCATGCATGGTGTGTGCTGCATGCATGGTGTGTGCTGCATGCATGGTGGGTGCTGCATGCATGGTGGGTGCTGCATGCATGGTGGGTGCTGCTTGCATGGTGCGTGCTTCATGCATGGTGCGTGCTGCATGCATGGTGTGTGCTGCATGCATGGTGTGTGCTGCATGCATGGTGCGTGCTGCATGCATGGTGCGTGCTGCATGCATGGTGCGTGCTGCATGCATGGTGCGTGCTGCATGCATGGTGCGTGCTGCATGCATGGTGCGTGCTGCATGCATGGTGTGTGCTGCATGCATGGTGTGTGCTGCATGCATGGTGCGTGCTGCATGCATGGTGCGTGCTGCATGCATGGTGCGTGCTGCATGCATGGTGTGTGCTGCATGCATGGTGTGTGCTGCATGCATGGTGTGTGCTGCTTGCATGGTGTGTGCAGCATGCATGGTGCGTGCTGCATGCATGGTGCGTGCTGCATGCATGGTGCGTGCTGCATGCATGGTGCGTGCTGCATGCATGGTGCGTGCTGCATGCATGGTGCGTGCTGCATGCATGGTGCGTGCTGCATGCATGGTGCGTGCTGCATGCATGGTGTGTGCTGCATGCATGGTGTGTGCTGCATGCATGGTGTGTGCTGCATGCATGGTGTGTGCTGCTTGCATGGTGCGTGCTGCATGCATGGTGCGTGCTGCATGCATGGTGCGTGCTGCATGCATGGTGCGTGCTGCATGCATGGTGCGTGCTGCATGCATGGTGCGTGCTGCATGCATGGTGCGTGCTGCATGCATGGTGCGTGCTGCATGCATGGTGGGTGCTGCATGCATGGTGCGTGCTGCATGCATGGTGCGTGCTGCATGCATGGTGCGTGCTGCATGCATGGTGCGTGCTGCATGCATGGTGCGTGCTGCATGCATGGTGCGTGCTGCTTGCATGGTGCGTGCTGCTTGCATGGTGCGTGCTGCTTGCATGGTGCGTGCTGCTTGCATGGTGTGTGCTGCTTGCATGGTGTGTGCTGCATGCATGGTGTGTGCTGCATGCATGGTGTGTGCTGCATGCATGGTGTGTGCTGCATGCATGGTGTGTGCTGCATGCATGGTGTGTGCTGCATGCATGGTGCGTGCTGCATGCATGGTGCGTGCTGCATGCATGGTGCGTGATGCATGCATGGTGGGTGCTGCATGCATGGTGCGTGCTGCATGCATGGTGTGTGCTGCATGCATGGTGCGTGCTGCATGCATGGTGCGTGCTGCATGCATGGTGCGTGCTGCATGCATGGTGCGTGATGCATGCATGGTGCGTGCTGCATGCATGGTGCGTGCTGCATGCATGGTGCGTGCTGCATCCATGGTGCGTGCAGCATGCATGGTGCGTGCTGCATGCATGGTGCGTGCTGCATGCATGGTGCGTGCTGCATGCATGGTGCGTGCTGCATGCATGGTGCGTGCTGCATCCATGGTGCGTGCTGCATGCATGGTGTGTGCAGCATGCATGGTGCGTGCTGCATGCATGGTGCGTGATGCATGCATGGTGCGTGCTGCATGCATGGTGCGTGCTGCATGCATGGTGCGTGCTGCATCCATGGTGCGTGCTGCATGCATGGTGGGTGCTGCATGCATGGTGCGTGCTGCATGCATGGTGCGTGCTGCATGCATGGTGCGTGCTGCATGCATGGTGCGTGATGCATGCATGGTGCGTGCTGCATGCATGGTGGGTGCTGCATGCATGGTGGGTGCTGCATGCATGGTGCGTGCTGCATGCATGGTGCGTGCTGCATGCATGGTGCGTGCTGCATGCATGGTGCGTGCTGCATCCATGGTGCGTGCAGCATGCATGGTGTGTGCTGCATGCATGGTGCGTGCTGCATGCATGGTGCGTGCTGCATGCATGGTGCGTGCTGCATGCATGGTGCGTGCTGCATCCATGGTGCGTGCTGCATCCATGGTGCGTGCAGCATGCATGGTGCGTGCTGCATGCATGGTGCGTGCTGCATGCATGGTGCGTGCTGCATGCATGGTGCGTGCTGCATGCATGGTGCGTGCTGCATGCATGGTGCGTGCTGCATGCATGGTGCGTGCTGCATGCATGGTGCGTGCTGCATCCATGGTGCGTGCTGCATGCATGGTGTGTGCAGCATGCATGGTGTGTGCTGCATGCATGGTGCGTGATGCATGCATGGTGCGTGCTGCATGCATGGTGCGTGCTGCATGCATGGTGCGTGCTGCATGCATGGTGCGTGCTGCATGCATGGTGCGTGATGCATGCATGGTGCGTGCTGCATGCATGGTGGGTGCTGCATGCATGGTGCGTGCTGCATGTATGGTGCGTGCTGCATCCATGGTGCGTGCTGCATCCATGGTGTGTGCTGCATGCATGGTGTGTGCTGCATGCATGGTGGGTGCTGCATGCATGGTGCGTGCTGCATGTATGGTGCGTGCTGCATGCATGGTGCGTGCTGCATGCATGGTGGGTGCTGCATGCATGGTGCGTGCTGCATGTATGGTGCGTGCTGCATGCATGGTGCGTGATGCATGCATGGTGCGTGCTGCATGCATGGTGGGTGCTGCATGCATGGTGCGTGCTGCATGTATGGTGCGTGCTGCATCCATGGTGCGTGCTGCATCCATGGTGTGTGCTGCATGCATGGTGTGTGCTGCATGCATGGTGTGTGCTTTATGCATGGTGCGTGCTGCATGCATGGTGCGTGCTGCATGCATGGTGCGTGCTGCATGCATGGTGCGTGCTGCATGCATGGTGCGTGATGCATGCATGGTGGGTGCTGCATGCATGGTGCGTGCTGCATCCATGGTGCGTGCTGCATCCATGGTGCGTGCTGCATCCATGGTGTGTGCTGCATGCATGGTGGGTGCCGCATGCATGGTGCGTGCTGCATGTATGGTGCGTGCTGCATGCATGGTGCGTGCTGCATGCATGGTGCGTGCTGCATGCATGGTGGGTGCTGCATGCATGGTGCGTGCTGCATGCATGGTGCGTGCTGCATGCATGGTGCGTGATGCATGCATGGTGCGTGCTGCATGCATGGTGGGTGCTGCATGCATGGTGCGTGCTGCATTCATGGTGCGTGCTGCATGCATGGTGCGTGCTGCATGCATGGTGCGTGATGCATGCATGGTGCGTGCTGCATGCATGGTGTGTGCTGCATGCATGGTGCGTGCTGCATGCATGGTGCGTGCTGCATGCATGGTGCGTGCTGCATGCATGGTGTGTGCGTGCTGCATGCATGGTGCGTGCTGCATGCATGGTACGTGCTGCATGCATGGTGCGTGATGCATGCATGGTGTGTGCTGCATGCATGGTGGGTGATGCATGCATGGTGCGTGCTGCATGCATGGTGGGTGCTGCATGCATGGTGCGTGCTGCATTCATGGTGCGTGCTGCATGCATGGTGCGTGCTGCATGCATGGTGCGTGCTGCATGCATGGTGCGTGCTGCATGCATGGTGTGTGCTGCATGCATGGTGCGTGCTGCATGCATGGTGCGTGCTGCATGCATGGTGCGTGCTGCATGCATGGTGGGTGCTGCATGCATGGTGCGTGATGCATGCATGGTGCGTGCTGCATGCATGGTGTGTGCTGCATGCATGGTGCGTGCTGCATGCATGGTGCGTGCTGCATGCATGGTGCGTGCTGCATGCATGGTGCGTGCTGCATGCATGGTGCGTGCTGCATGCATGGTGCGTGCTGCATGCATGGTGCGTGCTGCATGCATGGTGCGTGCTGCATGCATGGTGTGTGCGTGCTGCATGCATGGTGCGTGCTGCATGCATGGTACGTGCTGCATGCATGGTGCGTGATGCATGCATGGTGTGTGATGCATGCATGGTGGGTGCCGCATGCATGGTGGGTGCTGCATGCATGGTGGGTGCTGCATGCATGGTGGGTGCTGCATGCATGGTGCGTGATGCATGCATGGTGCGTGATGCATGCATGGTGGGTGCTGCATGCATGGTGGGTGCTGCATGCATGGTGCGTGCTGCATGCATGGTGCGTGCTGCATGCATGGTGCGTGCTGCATGCATGGTGTGTGCGTGCTGCATGCATGGTGTGTGCGTGCTGCATGCATGGTGTGTGCGTGCTGCATGCATGGTGCGTGCTGCATGCATGGTGCGTGCTGCATGCATGGTGGGTGCTGCATGCATGGTGGGTGCTGCATGCATGGTGCGTGCTGCATGCATGGTGCGTGCTGCATGCATGGTGCGTGCTGCATGCATGGTGCGTGCTGCATGCATGGTGCGTGCTGCATGCATGGTGTGTGCTGCATGCATGGTGTGTGCTGCATGCATGGTGGGTGCTGCATGCATGGTGGGTGCTGCATGCATGGTGCGTGATGCATGCATGGTGCGTGCTGCATGCATGGTGCGTGCTGCATGCATGGTGCGTGCTGCATGCATGGTGCGTGCTGCATGCATGGTGCGTGCTGCATGCATGGTGTGTGCTGCATGCATGGTGTGTGCTGCATGCATGGTGGGTGCTGCATGCATGGTGGGTGCTGCATGCATGGTGCGTGATGCATGCATGGTGCGTGCTGCATGCATGGTGCGTGCTGCATGCATGGTGCGTGCTGCATGCATGGTGCGTGATGCATGCATGGTGGGTGCTGCATGCATGGTGGGTGCTGCATGCATGGTGCGTGCTGCATGCATGGTGCGTGCTGCATGCATGGTGCGTGCTGCATTCATGGTGCGTGCTGCATGCATGGTGCGTGCTGCATGCATGGTGCGTGCTGCATGCATGGTGCGTGCTGCATTCATGGTGCGTGCTGCATGCATGGTGCGTGCTGCATGCATGGTGCGTGCTGCATGCATGGTGGGTGCTGCATGCATGGTGGGTGCTGCATGCATGATGCGTGCTGCATGCATGGTGCGTGCTGCATGCATGGTGCGTGCTGCATGCATGGTGTGTGCTGCATGCATGGTGCGTGCTGCATGCATGGTGCGTGCTGCATGCATGGTGCGTGCTGCATGCATGGTGCGTGATGCATGCATGGTGCGTGATGCATGCATGGTGCGTGCTGCATGCATGGTGGGTGCTGCATGCATGGTGCGTGCTGCATGCATGGTGCGTGCTGCATGCATGGTGCGTGATGCATGCATGGTGGGTGATGCATGCATGGTGGGTGCTGCATGCATGGTGGGTGCTGCATGCATGGTGCGTGCTGCATGCATGGTGCGTGCTGCATGCATGGTGCGTGCTGCATGCATGGTGCGTGCTGCATGCATGGTGCGTGCTGCATGCATGGTGCGTGCTGCATGCATGGTGGGTGCTGCATGCATGGTGCGTGCTGCATGCATGGTGGGTGCTGCATGCATGGTGGGTGCTGCATGCATGGTGCGTGCTGCATGCATGGTGCGTGCTGCATGCGTGGTGCGTGCTGCATGCGTGGTGCGTGCTGCATGCGTGGTGCGTGCTGCATGCCTGGTGCGTGCTGCATGCATGGTGCGTGCTGCATGCATGGTGCGTGCTGCATGCATGGTGCGTGCTGCATGCATGGTGTGTGCAGCATGCATGGTGCGTGCTGCATGCATGGTGCGTGATGCATGCATGGTGCGTGCTGCATGCATGGTGCGTGCTGCATGCATGGTGCGTGCTGCATGCATGGTGCGTGCTGCATGCATGGTGCGTGCTGCATGCATGGTGCGTGATGCATGCATGGTGCGTGATGCATGCATGGTGGGTGCTGCATGCATGGTGGGTGCTGCATGCATGGTGCGTGCTGCATGCATGGTGCGTGCTGCATGCATGGTGCGTGCTGCATGCATGGTGCGTGCTGCATCCATGGTGCGTGCAGCATGCATGGTGTGTGCTGCATGCATGGTGCGTGCTGCATGCATGGTGCGTGCTGCATGCATGGTGCGTGCTGCATGCATGGTGCGTGCTGCATCCATGGTGCGTGCTGCATCCATGGTGCGTGCAGCATGCATGGTGCGTGCTGCATGCATGGTGCGTGCTGCATGCATGGTGCGTGCTGCATGCATGGTGCGTGCTGCATGCATGGTGCGTGCTGCATGCATGGTGCGTGCTGCATGCATGGTGCGTGCTGCATGCATGGTGCGTGCTGCATCCATGGTGCGTGCTGCATGCATGGTGTGTGCAGCATGCATGGTGTGTGCTGCATGCATGGTGCGTGCTGCATGCATGGTGCGTGCTGCATGCATGGTGCGTGCTGCATGCATGGTGCGTGCTGCATGCATGGTGCGTGCTGCATGCATGGTGCGTGATGCATGCATGGTGCGTGCTGCATGCATGGTGGGTGCTGCATGCATGGTGCGTGCTGCATGTATGGTGCGTGCTGCATCCATGGTGCGTGCTGCATCCATGGTGTGTGCTGCATGCATGGTGTGTGCTGCATGCATGGTGGGTGCTGCATGCATGGTGCGTGCTGCATGTATGGTGCGTGCTGCATGCATGGTGCGTGCTGCATGCATGGTGGGTGCTGCATGCATGGTGCGTGCTGCATGTATGGTGCGTGCTGCATGCATGGTGCGTGATGCATGCATGGTGCGTGCTGCATGCATGGTGGGTGCTGCATGCATGGTGCGTGCTGCATGTATGGTGCGTGCTGCATCCATGGTGCGTGCTGCATCCATGGTGTGTGCTGCATGCATGGTGTGTGCTGCATGCATGGTGTGTGCTTTATGCATGGTGCGTGCTGCATGCATGGTGCGTGCTGCATGCATGGTGCGTGCTGCATGCATGGTGCGTGATGCATGCATGGTGCGTGCTGCATGCATGGTGGGTGCTGCATGCATGGTGCGTGCTGCATCCATGGTGCGTGCTGCATCCATGGTGTGTGCTGCATGCATGGTGCGTGCTGCATGCATGGTGCGTGCTGCATGCATGGTGCGTGCTGCATCCATGGTGTGTGCTGCATCCATGGTGCGTGCTGCATCCATGGTGTGTGCTGCATGCATGGTGCGTGCTGCATGCATGGTGCGTGCTGCATGCATGGTGCGTGCTGCATGCATGGTGCGTGCTGCATGCATGGTGCGTGCTGCATGCATGGTGCGTGATGCATGCATGGTGCGTGCTGCATGCATGGTGGGTGCTGCATGCATGGTGCGTGCTGCATGTATGGTGCGTGCTGCATCCATGGTGCGTGCTGCATCCATGGTGTGTGCTGCATGCATGGTGTGTGCTGCATGCATGGTGGGTGCTGCATGCATGGTGCGTGCTGCATGTATGGTGCGTGCTGCATGCATGGTGCGTGCTGCATGCATGGTGGGTGCTGCATGCATGGTGCGTGCTGCATGTATGGTGCGTGCTGCATGCATGGTGCGTGATGCATGCATGGTGCGTGCTGCATGCATGGTGGGTGCTGCATGCATGGTGCGTGCTGCATGTATGGTGCGTGCTGCATCCATGGTGCGTGCTGCATCCATGGTGTGTGCTGCATGCATGGTGTGTGCTGCATGCATGGTGTGTGCTTTATGCATGGTGCGTGCTGCATGCATGGTGCGTGCTGCATGCATGGTGCGTGCTGCATGCATGGTGCGTGATGCATGCATGGTGCGTGCTGCATGCATGGTGGGTGCTGCATGCATGGTGCGTGCTGCATCCATGGTGCGTGCTGCATCCATGGTGTGTGCTGCATGCATGGTGTGTGCTGCATGCATGGTGGGTGCTGCATGCATGGTGCGTGCTGCATGTATGGTGCGTGCTGCATGCATGGTGCGTGCTGCATGCATGGTGGGTGCTGCATGCATGGTGCGTGCTGCATGTATGGTGCGTGCTGCATGCATGGTGCGTGATGCATGCATGGTGCGTGCTGCATGCATGGTGGGTGCTGCATGCATGGTGCGTGCTGCATGTATGGTGCGTGCTGCATCCATGGTGCGTGCTGCATCCATGGTGTGTGCTGCATGCATGGTGTGTGCTGCATGCATGGTGCGTGCTGCATGCATGGTGTGTGCTGCATGCATGGTGCGTGCTGCATGCATGGTGTGTGCTGCATGCATGGTGTGTGCTGCATGCATGGTGTGTGCTTCATGCATGGTGCGTGCTGCATGCATGGTGTGTGCTGCATGCATGGTGCGTGCTGCATGTATGGTGCGTGCTGCATCCATGGTGCGTGCTGCATCCATGGTGTGTGCTGCTTGCATGGTGTGTGCTGCATGCATGGTGCGTGCTGCATGCATGGTGGGTGCTGCATGCATGGTGCGTGCTGCATGTATGGTGCGTGCTGCATCCATGGTGCGTGCTGCATCCATGGTGTGTGCTGCATGCATGGTGTGTGCTGCATGCATGGTGTGTGCTGCATGCATGGTGTGTGCTGCATGCATGGTGTGTGCTGCATGCATGGTGTGTGCTTCATGCATGGTGCGTGCTGCATGCATGGTGTGTGCTGCATGCATGGTGCGTGCTGCATGTATGGTGCGTGCTGCATCCATGGTGCGTGCTGCATCCATGGTGTGTGCTGCTTGCATGGTGTGTGCTGCATGCATGGTGCGTGCTGCATGCATGGTGGGTGCTGCATGCATGGTGCGTGCTGCATGTATGGTGCGTGCTGCATCCATGGTGCGTGCTGCATCCATGGTGTGTGCTGCATGCATGGTGTGTGCTGCATGCATGGTGCGTGCTGCATGCATGGTGGGTGCTGCATGCATGGTGCGTGCTGCATGTATGGTGCGTGCTGCATCCATGGTGCGTGCTGCATCCATGGTGTGTGCTGCATGCATGGTGTGTGCTGCATGCATGGTGTGTGCTGCATGCATGGTGCGTGCTGCATGCATGGTGCGTGCTGCATGCATGTTGCGTGCTGCATGCATGGTGTGTGCTGCATGCATGGTGTGTGCTGCATGCATGGTGCGTGCTGCATGCATGGTGTGTGCTGCATGCATTGTGCGTGCTGCATGCATGGTGTGTGCTGCATGCATGGTGCGTGCTGCATGCATGGTGCGTGCTGCATGCATGGTGCGTGCTGCATGCATGGTGTGTGCTGCATGCATGGTTGTGCTGCATCCATGGTGTGTGCTGCATGCATGGTGTGTGCTGCATGCATGGTGCGTGCTGCATGCATGGTGCGTGCTGCATGCATGGTGCGTGCTGCATGCATGGTGTGTGCTGCATGCATGGTTGTGCTGCATCCATGGTGTGTGCTGCATGCATGGTGTGTGCTGCATGCATGGTGCGTGCTGCATGCATGGTGCGTGCTGCATGCATGGTGCGTGCTGCATGCATGGTGTGTGCTGCATGCATGGTGCGTGCTGCATGCATGGTGTGTGCTGCATGCATGGTGCGTGCTGCATGCATGGTGTGTGCTGCATGCATGGTGTGTGCTGCATGCATGGTGCGTGCTGCATGCATGGTGTGTGCTGCATGCATGGTGCGTGCTGCATGCATGGTGTGTGCAGCATGCATGGTTGTGCTGCATCCATGGTGTGTGCTGCATGCATGGTGTGTGCTGCTTGCATGGTGTGTGCTTCATGCATGGTGTGTGCTGCATGCATGGTGCGTGCTGCATGCATGGTGTGTGCAGCATGCATGGTTGTGCTGCATCCATGGTGTGTGCTGCATGCATGGTGTGTGCTGCTTGCATGGTGTGTGCTTCATGCATGGTGTGTGCTGCATGCATGGTGCGTGCTGCATGCATGGTGCGTGCTGCATGCATGGTTGTGCTGCATCCATGGTGTGTGCTGCATGCATGGTGCGTGCTGCATGCATGGTGCGTGCTGCATGCATGGTGTGTGCTGCATGCATGGTGCGTGCTGCATGCATGGTTGTGCTGCATCCATGGTGTGTGCTGCATGCATGGTGTGTGCTGCATGCATGGTGCGTGCTGCATGCATGGTGTGTGCAGCATGCATGGTGTGTGCTTCATGCATGGTGCGTGCTTCATGCATGGTGTGTGCTTCATGCATGGTGCGTGCTGCATGCATGGTGCGTGCTGCATGCATGGTGCGTGCTGCATGCATGGTGTGTGCTGCATGCATGGTGCGTGCTGCATGCATGGTGTGTGCAGCATGCATGGTTGTGCTGCATCCATGGTGTGTGCTGCATGCATGGTGTGTGCTGCTTGCATGGTGTGTGCTTCATGCATGGTGTGTGCTGCATGCATGGTGCGTGCTGCATGCATGGTGCGTGCTGCATGCATGGTTGTGCTGCATCCATGGTGTGTGCTGCATGCATGGTGTGTGCTTCATGCATGGTGCGTGCTGCATGCATGGTGCGTGCTGCATGCATGGTGTGTGCTGCATGCATGGTGCGTGCTGCATGCATGGTGCATGCTGCATGCATGGTGTGTGCTGCATGCATGGTGCGTGCTGCATGCATGGTGTGTGCAGCATGCATGGTGTGTGCTTCATGCATGGTGCGTGCTTCATGCATGGTGCGTGCTGCATGCATGGTGCGTGCTGCATGCATGGTGCGTGCTGCATGCATGGTGCGTGCAGCATGCATGGTGTGTGCTTCATGCATGGTGCGTGCTTCATGCATGGTGTGTGCTTCATGCATGGTGCGTGCTGCATGCATGGTGCGTGCTGCATGCATGGTGCGTGCTGCATGCATGGTGCGTGCTGCATGCATGGTGTGTGCTGCATGCATGGTGCGTGCTGCATGCATGGTGCGTGCTGCATGCATGGTGTGTGCTGCTTGCATGGTGTGTGCAGCATGCATGGTTGTGCTGCATGCATGGTGTGTGCTGCTTGCATGGTGTGTGCTGCATGCATGGTGCGTGCTGCATGCATGGTGCGTGCAGCATGCATGGTGTGTGCTGCTTGCATGGTGTGTGCAGCATGCATGGTTGTGCTGCATGCATGGTGTGTGCTGCTTGCATGGTGTGTGCTGCATGCATGGTGCGTGCTGCATGCATGGTGTGTGCTGCATGCATGGTGCGTGCTGCATGCATGGTGCGTGCTTCATGCATGGTGCGTGCTGCATGCATGGTGCGTGCTGCATGCATGGTGCGTGCTGCTTGCATGGTGTGTGCTGCATGCATGGTGCGTGCTGCATGCATGGTGTGTGCAGCATGCATGGTGTGTGCTTCATGCATGGTGCGTGCTTCATGCATGGTGTGTGCTTCATGCATGGTGCGTGCTGCATGCATGGTGCGTGCTGCATGCATGGTGCGTGCTGCATGCATGGTGCGTGCTGCATGCATGGTGTGTGCTGCATGCATGGTGCGTGCTGCATGCATGGTGCGTGCTGCATGCATGGTGTGTGCTGCTTGCATGGTGTGTGCAGCATGCATGGTTGTGCTGCATGCATGGTGTGTGCTGCTTGCATGGTGTGTGCTGCATGCATGGTGCGTGCTGCATGCATGGTGCGTGCAGCATGCATGGTGTGTGCTGCTTGCATGGTGTGTGCAGCATGCATGGTTGTGCTGCATGCATGGTGTGTGCTGCTTGCATGGTGTGTGCTGCATGCATGGTGCGTGCTGCATGCATGGTGCGTGCAGCATGCATGGTGTGTGCTGCTTGCATGGTGTGTGCTGCTTGCATGGTTGTGCTGCATCCATGGTGTGTGCTGCATGCATGGTGCGTGCTGCATGCATGGTGCGTGCTGCATGCATGGTGTGTGCTGCTTGCATGGTGTGTGCAGCATGCATGGTTGTGCGTGTGTGCTGCATGCATGGTGTGTGCTGCTTGCATGGTGTGTGCAGCATGCATGGTTGTGCTGCTTGCATGGTGTGTGCTGCTTGCATGGTGCGTGCTGCATGCATGGTGCGTGCTGCATGCATGGTGCGTGCTGCATGCATGGTGCGTGCAGCATGCATGGTGTGTGCAGCATGCATGGTTGTGCTGCATGCATGGTGTGTGCTGCATGCATGGTGTGTGCTGCATGCATGGTGCGTGCTGCATGCATGGTGTGTGCTGCTTGCATGGTGTGTGCTGCATGCATGGTGTGTGCTGCTTGCATGGTGCGTGCTGCTTGCATGGTGTGTGCTGCTTGCATGGTGCGTGCTGCATGCATGGTGTGTGCTGCTTGCATGGTGCGTGCTGCATGCATGGTGCGTGCTGCATGCATGGTGTGTGCTGCATGCATGGTGCGTGCTGCATGCATGGTGCGTGCTGCATGCATGGTGTGTGCTGCATGCATGGTGCGTGCTGCATGCATGGTGTGTGCTGCTTGCATGGTGTGTGCTGCATGCATGGTGCGTGCTGCATGCATGGTGCGTGCTGCATGCATGGTTGTGCTGCATCCATGGTGTGTGCTGCATCCATGGTGTGTGCTGCATGCATGGTGTGTGCTGCATGCATGGTGTGTGCTGCTTGCATGGTGTGTGCTGCATGCATGGTGTGTGCTGCTTGCATGGTGTGTGCTGCATGCATGGTGCGTGCTGCATGCATGGTGTGTGCTGCTTGCATGGTGTGTGCTGCATGCATGGTGTGTGCTGCATGCATGGTGTGTGCTGCATGCATGGTGTGTGCTGCATGCATGGTGTGTGCTGCTTGCATGGTGTGTGCTGCTTGCATGGTGTGTGCTGCTTGCATGGTGTGTGCTGCTTGCATGGTGCGTGCTGCATGCATGGTGTGTGCTGCTTGCATGGTGTGTGCTGCTTGCATGGTGTGTGCTGCATGCATGGTGCGTGGTGCTTGCATGGTGTGTGCTGCATGCATGGTGCGTGCTGCATGCATGGTGCGTGCTGCATGCATGGTGTGTGCTGCATGCATGGTGTGTGCTGCATGCATGGTGCGTGCTGCATGCATGGTGCGTGCTGCATGCATGGTGCGTGCTGCATGCATGGTGTGTGCTGCATGCATGGTGTGTGCTGCATGCATGGTGTGTGCTTCATGCATGGTGCGTGCTGCATGCATGGTGTGTGCTGCATGCATGGTGCGTGCTGCTTGCATGGTGCGTGCTGCATGCATGGTGCGTGCTGCATGCATGGTGCGTGCTGCATGCATGGTGCGTGCTGCATGCATGGTGCGTGCTGCATGCATGGTGCGTGCTGCATGCATGGTGCGTGCTGCTTGCATGGTGCGTGCTGCTTGCATGGTGCGTGCTGCTTGCATGGTGCGTGCTGCTTGCATGGTGCGTGCTGCATGCATGGTGCGTGCTGCATGCATGGTGCGTGCTGCATGTATGGTGCGTGCTGCATGCATGGTGCGTGCTGCATGCATGGTGCGTGCTGCATGCATGGTGCGTGCTGCATGCATGGTGCGTGCTGCATGCATGGTGCGTGCTGCATGCATGGTGCGTGCTGCATGCATGGTGCGTGCTGCATGCATGGTGCGTGCTGCATGCATGGTGCGTGCTGCATGCATGGTGCGTGCTGCATGCATGGTGTGTGCTGCATGCATGGTGGGTGCTGCATGCATGGTGGGTGCTGCATGCATGGTGCGTGCTGCATGCATGGTGCGTGCTGCATGCATGGTGCGTGCTGCATGCATGGTGCGTGCTGCATGCATGGTGCGTGCTGCATGCATGGTGCGGTGTGTGCTGCATGCATGGTGTGTGCTGCATGCATGGTGTGTGCTGCATGCATGGTGTGTGCTGCATGCATGGTGTGTGCTGCATGCATGGTGTGTGCTGCATGCATGGTGGGTGCTGCATGCATGGTGGGTGCTGCTTGCATGGTGCGTGCTTCATGCATGGTGTGTGCTTCATGCATGGTGTGTGCTGCATGCATGGTGTGTGCTGCATGCATGGTGCGTGCTGCATGCATGGTGCGTGCTGCATGCATGGTGCGTGCTGCATGCATGGTGCGTGCTGCATGCATGGTGCGTGCTGCATGCATGGTGCGTGCTGCATGCATGGTGTGTGCTGCATGCATGGTGTGTGCTGCATGCATGGTGCGTGCTGCATGCATGGTGCGTGCTGCATGCATGGTGCGTGCTGCATGCATGGTGCGTGCTGCATGCATGGTGTGTGCTGCATGCATGGTGTGTGCTGCTTGCATGGTGTGTGCTGCTTGCATGGTGTGTGCTGCTTGCATGGTGCGTGCTGCATGCATGGTGCGTGCTGCATGCATGGTGCGTGCTGCATGCATGGTGCGTGCTGCATGCATGGTGCGTGCTGCATGCATGGTGCGTGCTGCATGCATGGTGCGTGCTGCATGCATGGTGTGTGCTGCATGCATGGTGTGTGCTGCATGCATGGTGTGTGCTGCATGCATGGTGTGTGCTGCTTGCATGGTGCGTGCTGCATGCATGGTGCGTGCTGCATGCATGGTGCGTGCTGCATGCATGGTGGGTGCTGCATGCATGGTGGGTGCTGCATGCATGGTGGGTGCTGCATGCATGGTGCGTGCTGCATGCATGGTGCGTGCTGCATGCATGGTGCGTGCTGCATGCATGGTGCGTGCTGCTTGCATGGTGCGTGCTGCTTGCATGGTGCGTGCTGCTTGCATGGTGCGTGCTGCTTGCATGGTGTGTGCTGCATGCATGGTGTGTGCTGCATGCATGGTGCGTGCTGCATGCATGGTGTGTGCTGCTTGCATGGTGCGTGCTGCTTGCATGGTGCGTGCTGCATGCATGGTGCGTGCTGCATGCATGGTGTGTGCTGCATGCATGGTGTGTGCTGCATGCATGGTGTGTGCTGCATGCATGGTGCGTGCTGCATGCATGGTGTGTGCTGCATGCATGGTGTGTGCTGCATGCATGGTGCGTGCTGCATGCATGGTGCGTGCTGCATGCATGGTGTGTGCTGCTTGCATGGTGTGTGCTGCATGCATGGTGTGTGCTGCTTGCATGGTGTGTGCTGCTTGCATGGTGGGTGGGTGCTTCATGCATGGTGCGTGCTGCATGCATGGTGCGTGCTGCTTGCATGGTGCGTGCTGCTTGCATGGTGCGTGCTGCTTGCATGGTGTGTGCTGCATGCATGGTGCGTGCTGCATGCATGGTGCGTGCTGCTTGCATGGTGTGTGCTGCTTGCATGGTGGGTGCTGCATGCATGGTGCGTGCTGCATGCATGGTGCGTGCTGCATGCATGGTGCGTGCTGCATGCATGGTGCGTGCTGCATGCATGGTGCGTGCTGCATGCATGGTGCGTGCTGCATGCATGGTGCGTGCTGCATGCATGGTGCGTGCTGCATGCATGGTGCTTGCTGCATGCATGGTGCGTGCTGCATGCATGGTGCGTGCTGCATGCATGGTGCGTGCTGCATGCATGGTGCGTGCTGCATGCATGGTGCGTGCTGCTTGCATGGTGGGTGCTGCTTGCATGGTGGGTGGGTGCTTCATGCATGGTGCGTGCTGCATGCATGGTGTGTGCTGCATGCATGGTGTGTGCTGCATGCATGGTGTGTGCTGCATGCATGGTGTGTGCTGCATGCATGGTGTGTGCTGCATGCATGGTGCGTGCTGCATGCATGGTGCACTGCATGCATGGTGCGTGCTGCATGCATGGTGTGTGCTGCTTGCATGGTGCGTGCTGCTTGCATGGTGCGTGCTGCTTGCATGGTGCGTGCTGCTTGCATGGTGCGTGCTGCATGCATGGTGCGTGCTGCATGCATGGTGCGTGCTGCATGCATGGTGCGTGCTGCATGCATGGTGCGTGCTGCATGCATGGTGCGTGCTGCATGCATGGTGCGTGCTGCATGCATGGTGCGTGCTGCATGCATGGTGTGTGCTGCATGCATGGTGTGTGCTGCATGCATGGTGTGTGCTGCATGCATGGTGTGTGCTGCATGCATGGTGTGTGCTGCATGCATGGTGGGTGCTGCATGCATGGTGGGTGCTGCATGCATGGTGCGTGCTGCATGCATGGTGCGTGCTGCATGCATGGTGCGTGCTGCATGCATGGTGCGTGCTGCATGCATGGTGCGTGCTGCATGCATGGTGCGTGCTGCATGCATGGTGCGTGCTGCATGCATGGTGTGTGCTGCATGCATGGTGTGTGCTGCATGCATGGTGTGTGCTGCATGCATGGTGCGTGCTGCATGCATGGTGCGTGCTGCATGCATGGTGCGTGCTGCATGCATGGTGGGTGCTGCTTGCATGGTGGGTGCTGCTTGCATGGTGCGTGCTGCATGCATGGTGCGTGCTGCATGCATGGTGCGTGCTGCATGCATGGTGCGTGCTGCATGCATGGTGTGTGCTGCATGCATGGTGTGTGCTGCTTGCATGGTGTGTGCTGCTTGCATGGTGTGTGCTGCTTGCATGGTGCGTGCTGCATGCATGGTGCGTGCTGCATGCATGGTGCGTGCTGCATGCATGGTGCGTGCTGCATGCATGGTGCGTGCTGCATGCATGGTGCGTGCTGCATGCATGGTGTGTGCTGCATGCATGGTGTGTGCTGCATGCATGGTGTGTGCTGCATGCATGGTGTGTGCTGCTTGCATGGTGCGTGCTGCATGCATGGTGCGTGCTGCATGCATGGTGCGTGCTGCATGCATGGTGGGTGCTGCATGCATGGTGGGTGCTGCATGCATGGTGGGTGCTGCATGCATGGTGCGTGCTGCATGCATGGTGCGTGCTGCATGCATGGTGCGTGCTGCATGCATGGTGCGTGCTGCTTGCATGGTGCGTGCTGCTTGCATGGTGCGTGCTGCTTGCATGGTGCGTGCTGCTTGCATGGTGTGTGCTGCATGCATGGTGTGTGCTGCATGCATGGTGCGTGCTGCATGCATGGTGTGTGCTGCTTGCATGGTGCGTGCTGCTTGCATGGTGCGTGCTGCATGCATGGTGCGTGCTGCATGCATGGTGTGTGCTGCATGCATGGTGTGTGCTGCATGCATGGTGTGTGCTGCATGCATGGTGCGTGCTGCATGCATGGTGTGTGCTGCATGCATGGTGTGTGCTGCATGCATGGTGCGTGCTGCATGCATGGTGCGTGCTGCATGCATGGTGTGTGCTGCTTGCATGGTGTGTGCTGCATGCATGGTGTGTGCTGCTTGCATGGTGTGTGCTGCTTGCATGGTGGGTGGGTGCTTCATGCATGGTGCGTGCTGCATGCATGGTGCGTGCTGCTTGCATGGTGCGTGCTGCTTGCATGGTGCGTGCTGCTTGCATGGTGTGTGCTGCATGCATGGTGCGTGCTGCATGCATGGTGCGTGCTGCTTGCATGGTGTGTGCTGCTTGCATGGTGGGTGCTGCATGCATGGTGCGTGCTGCATGCATGGTGCGTGCTGCATGCATGGTGCGTGCTGCATGCATGGTGCGTGCTGCATGCATGGTGCGTGCTGCATGCATGGTGCGTGCTGCATGCATGGTGCGTGCTGCATGCATGGTGCGTGCTGCATGCATGGTGCTTGCTGCATGCATGGTGCGTGCTGCATGCATGGTGCGTGCTGCATGCATGGTGCGTGCTGCATGCATGGTGCGTGCTGCATGCATGGTGCGTGCTGCTTGCATGGTGGGTGCTGCTTGCATGGTGGGTGGGTGCTTCATGCATGGTGCGTGCTGCATGCATGGTGTGTGCTGCATGCATGGTGTGTGCTGCATGCATGGTGTGTGCTGCATGCATGGTGTGTGCTGCATGCATGGTGTGTGCTGCATGCATGGTGCGTGCTGCATGCATGGTGCACTGCATGCATGGTGCGTGCTGCATGCATGGTGTGTGCTGCTTGCATGGTGCGTGCTGCTTGCATGGTGCGTGCTGCTTGCATGGTGCGTGCTGCTTGCATGGTGCGTGCTGCATGCATGGTGCGTGCTGCATGCATGGTGCGTGCTGCATGCATGGTGCGTGCTGCATGCATGGTGCGTGCTGCATGCATGGTGCGTGCTGCATGCATGGTGCGTGCTGCATGCATGGTGCGTGCTGCATGCATGGTGCGTGCTGCATGCATGGTGTGTGCTGCATGCATGGTGTGTGCTGCATGCATGGTGTGTGCTGCATGCATGGTGTGTGCTGCATGCATGGTGTGTGCTGCATGCATGGTGGGTGCTGCATGCATGGTGGGTGCTGCATGCATGGTGCGTGCTGCATGCATGGTGCGTGCTGCATGCATGGTGCGTGCTGCATGCATGGTGCGTGCTGCATGCATGGTGCGTGCTGCATGCATGGTGCGTGCTGCATGCATGGTGCGTGCTGCATGCATGGTGTGTGCTGCATGCATGGTGTGTGCTGCATGCATGGTGTGTGCTGCATGCATGGTGCGTGCTGCATGCATGGTGCGTGCTGCATGCATGGTGCGTGCTGCATGCATGGTGGGTGCTGCTTGCATGGTGGGTGCTGCTTGCATGGTGCGTGCTGCATGCATGGTGCGTGCTGCATGCATGGTGCGTGCTGCATGCATGGTGCGTGCTGCATGCATGGTGTGTGCTGCTTGCATGGTGTGTGCTGCATGCATGGTGCGTGCTGCATGCATGGTGCGTGCTGCATGCATGGTGCGTGCTGCATGCATGGTGTGTGCTGCTTGCATGGTGCGTGCTGCATGCATGGTGTGTGCTGCATGCATGGTGCGTGCTGCATGCATGGTGTGTGCTGCATGCATGGTGTGTGCTGCATGCATGGTGTGTGCTGCATGCATGGTGGGTGCTGCTTGCATGGTGCGTGCTGCATGCATGGTGCGTGCTGCATGCATGGTGCGTGCTGCATGCATGGTGTGTGCTGCATGCATGGTGCGTGCTGCTTGCATGGTGGGTGCTGCTTGCATGGTGCGTGCTGCATGCATGGTGCGTGCTGCATGCATGGTGCGTGCTGCATGCATGGTGCGTGCTGCATGCATGGTGCGTGCTGCATGCATGGTGCGTGCTGCTTGCATGGTGCGTGCTGCTTGCATGGTGCGTGCTGCATGCATGGTGCGTGCTGCATGCATGGTGCGTGCTGCATGCATGGTGTGTGCTGCATGCATGGTGCGTGCTGCTTGCATGGTGCGTGCTGCTTGCATGGTGCGTGCTGCATGCATGGTGCGTGCTGCATGCATGGTGCGTGCTGCATGCATGGTGCGTGCTGCATGCATGGTGCGTGCTGCATGCATGGTGTGTGCTGCTTGCATGGTGTGTGCTACTTGCATGGTGTGTGCTGCTTGCATGGTGTGTGCTGCTTGCATGGTGTGTGCTGCTTGCATGGTGTGTGCTGCATGCATGGTGCGTGCTGCATGCATGGTGCGTGCTGCATGCATGGTGTGTGCAGCATGCATGGTGTGTGCAGCATGCATGGTTGTGCTGCATGCATGGTGCGTGCTGCATGCATGGTGCGTGCTGCATGCATGGTGCGTGCTTCATGCATGGTGTGTGCTGCATGCATGGTGTGTGCTGCATGCATGGTGCGTGCTGCATGCATGGTGTGTGCTGCATGCATGGTGTGTGCTGCTTGCATGGTGTGTGCTGCATGCATGGTGCGTGCTGCATGCATGGTGTGTGCTGCATGCATGGTGCGTGCTGCATGCATGGTGCGTGCTACTTGCATGGTGCGTGCTGCTTGCATGGTGCGTGCTGCTTGCATGGTGCGTGCTGCATGCATGGTGCGTGCTGCATGCATGGTGTGTGCTGCATGCATGGTGTGTGCTGCATGCATGGTGTGTGCTGCATGCATGGTGTGTGCTGCATGCATGGTGTGTGCTGCATGCATGGTGTGTGCTGCATGCATGGTGTGTGCTGCATGCATGGTGCGTGCTGCATGCATGGTGCGTGCTGCATGCATGGTGTGTGCTGCATGCATGGTGTGTGCTGCATGCATGGTGTGTGCTGCATGCATGGTGTGTGCTGCATGCATGGTGCGTGCTGCATGCATGGTGTGTGCTGCATGCATGGTGTGTGCTGCTTGCATGGTGTGTGCTGCATGCATGGTGTGTGCTGCATGCATGGTGTGTGCTGCATGCATGGTGTGTGCTGCTTGCATGGTGTGTGCTGCATGCATGGTGTGTGCTGCATGCATGGTGCGTGCTGCATGCATGGTGTGTGCTGCATGCATGGTGCGTGCTGCATGCATGGTGTGTGCTGCTTGCATGGTGCGTGCTGCTTGCATGGTGGGTGGGTGCTTCATGCATGGTGTGTGCAGCATGCATGGGGCGTGCTGCATCCATGGTGCGTGCTGCATGCATGGTGCGTGCTGCATGCATGGTGTGTGCTGCTTGCATGGTGCGTGCTGCATGCATGGTGCGTGCTGCATGCATGGTGTGTGCTGCATGCATGGTGCGTGCTGCATGCATGGTGTGTGCTGCTTGCATGGTGTGTGCTGCTTGCATGGTGTGTGCTGCATGCATGGTGCGTGCTGCATGCATGGTGTGTGCTGCATGCATGGTGCGTGCTGCTTGCATGGTGGCAGTATCACGGCTGGGAGTATGCCGGCATGGTGGCAGTATCACGGCTGGGAGTATGCCGGCATGGTGGCAGTATCACGGCTGGGAGTATGCCGGCATGGTGGCAGTATCACGGCTGGGAGTATGCCGGCATGGTGGCAGTATCACGGCTGGGAGTATGCCGGCATGGTGGCAGTATCACGGCTGGGAGTATGCCGGCATGGTGGCAGTATCACGGCTGGGAGTATGCCGGCATGGTGGCAGTATCACGGCTGGGAGTATGCCGGCATGGTGGCAGTATCACGGCTGGGAGTATGCCGGCATGGTGGCAGTATCACGGCTGGGAGTATGCCGGCATGGTGGCAGTATCACGGCTGGGAGTATGCCGGCATGGTGGCAGTATCACGGCTGGGAGTATGCCGGCATGGTGGCAGTATCACGGCTGGGAGTATGCCGGCATGGTGGCAGTATCACGGCTGGGAGTATGCCGGCATGGTGGCAGTATCACGGCTGGGAGTATGCCGGCATGGTGGCAGTATCACGGCTGGGAGTATGCCGGCATGGTGGCAGTATCACGGCTGGGAGTATGCCGGCATGGTGGCAGTATCACGGCTGGGAGTATGCCGGCATGGTGGCAGTATCACGGCTGGGAGTATGCCGGCATGGTGGCAGTATCACGGCTGGGAGTATGCCGGCATGGTGGCAGTATCACGGCTGGGAGTATGCCGGCATGGTGGCAGTATCACGGCTGGGAGTATGCCGGCATGGTGGCAGTATCACGGCTGGGAGTATGCCGGCATGGTGGCAGTATCACGGCTGGGAGTATGCCGGCATGGTGGCAGTATCACGGCTGGGAGTATGCCGGCATGGTGGCAGTATCACGGCTGGGAGTATGCCGGCATGGTGGCAGTATCACGGCTGGGAGTATGCCGGCATGGTGGCAGTATCACGGCTGGGAGTATGCCGGCATGGTGGCAGTATCACGGCTGGGAGTATGCCGGCATGGTGGCAGTATCACGGCTGGGAGTATGCCGGCATGGTGGCAGTATCACGGCTGGGAGTATGCCGGCATGGTGGCAGTATCACGGCTGGGAGTATGCCGGCATGGTGGCAGTATCACGGCTGGGAGTATGCCGGCATGGTGGCAGTATCACGGCTGGGAGTATGCCGGCATGGTGGCAGTATCACGGCTGGGAGTATGCCGGCATGGTGGCAGTATCACGGCTGGGAGTATGCCGGCATGGTGGCAGTATCACGGCTGGGAGTATGCCGGCATGGTGGCAGTATCACGGCTGGGAGTATGCCGGCATGGTGGCAGTATCACGGCTGGGAGTATGCCGGCATGGTGGCAGTATCACGGCTGGGAGTATGCCGGCATGGTGGCAGTATCACGGCTGGGAGTATGCCGGCATGGTGGCAGTATCACGGCTGGGAGTATGCCGGCATGGTGGCAGTATCACGGCTGGGAGTATGCCGGCATGGTGGCAGTATCACGGCTGGGAGTATGCCGGCATGGTGGCAGTATCACGGCTGGGAGTATGCCGGCATGGTGGCAGTATCACGGCTGGGAGTATGCCGGCATGGTGGCAGTATCACGGCTGGGAGTATGCCGGCATGGTGGCAGTATCACGGCTGGGAGTATGCCGGCATGGTGGCAGTATCACGGCTGGGAGTATGCCGGCATGGTGGCAGTATCACGGCTGGGAGTATGCCGGCATGGTGGCAGTATCACGGCTGGGAGTATGCCGGCATGGTGGCAGTATCACGGCTGGGAGTATGCCGGCATGGTGGCAGTATCACGGCTGGGAGTATGCCGGCATGGTGGCAGTATCACGGCTGGGAGTATGCCGGCATGGTGGCAGTATCACGGCTGGGAGTATGCCGGCATGGTGGCAGTATCACGGCTGGGAGTATGCCGGCATGGTGGCAGTATCACGGCTGGGAGTATGCCGGCATGGTGGCAGTATCACGGCTGGGAGTATGCCGGCATGGTGGCAGTATCACGGCTGGGAGTATGCCGGCATGGTGGCAGTATCACGGCTGGGAGTATGCCGGCATGGTGGCAGTATCACGGCTGGGAGTATGCCGGCATGGTGGCAGTATCACGGCTGGGAGTATGCCGGCATGGTGGCAGTATCACGGCTGGGAGTATGCCGGCATGGTGGCAGTATCACGGCTGGGAGTATGCCGGCATGGTGGCAGTATCACGGCTGGGAGTATGCCGGCATGGTGGCAGTATCACGGCTGGGAGTATGCCGGCATGGTGGCAGTATCACGGCTGGGAGTATGCCGGCATGGTGGCAGTACCACGGCTGGGAGTATGCCGGCATGGTGGCAGTATCACGGCTGGGAGTATGCCGGCATGGTGGCAGTATCACGGCTGGGAGTATGCCGGCATGGTGGCAGTATCACGGCTGGGAGTATGCCGGCATGGTGGCAGTATCACGGCTGGGAGTATGCCGGCATGGTGGCAGTATCACGGCTGGGAGTATGCCGGCATGGTGGCAGTATCACGGCTGGGAGTATGCCGGCATGGTGGCAGTATCACGGCTGGGAGTATGCCGGCATGGTGGCAGTATCACGGCTGGGAGTATGCCGGCATGGTGGCAGTATCACGGCTGGGAGTATGCCGGCATGGTGGCAGTATCACGGCTGGGAGTATGCCGGCATGGTGGCAGTATCACGGCTGGGAGTATGCCGGCATGGTGGCAGTATCACGGCTGGGAGTATGCCGGCATGGTGGCAGTATCACGGCTGGGAGTATGCCGGCATGGTGGCAGTATCACGGCTGGGAGTATGCCGGCATGGTGGCAGTATCACGGCTGGGAGTATGCCGGCATGGTGGCAGTATCACGGCTGGGAGTATGCCGGCATGGTGGCAGTATCACGGCTGGGAGTATGCCGGCATGGTGGCAGTATCACGGCTGGGAGTATGCCGGCATGGTGGCAGTATCACGGCTGGGAGTATGCCGGCATGGTGGCAATATCACGGCTGGGAGTATGCCGGCATGGTGGCAGTATCACGGCTGGGAGTATGCCGGCATGGTGGCAGTATCACGGCTGGGAGTATGCCGGCATGGTGGCAGTATCACGGCTGGGAGTATGCCGGCATGGTGGCAGTATCACGGCTGGGAGTATGCCGGCATGGTGGCAGTATCACGGCTGGGAGTATGCCGGCATGGTGGCAGTATCACGGCTGGGAGTATGCCGGCATGGTGGCAGTATCACGGCTGGGAGTATGCCGGCATGGCGGCAGTATCACGGCTGGGAGTATGCCGGCATGGCGGCAGTATCACGGCTGGGAGTATGCCGGCATGGCGGCAGTATCACGGCTGGGAGTATGCCGGCATGGCGGCAGTATCACGGCTGGGAGTATGCCGGCATGGCGGCAGTATCACGGCTGGGAGTATGCCGGCATGGTGGCAGTATCACGGCTGGGAGTATGCCGGCATGGCGGCAGTATCACGGCTGGGAGTATGCCGGCATGGTGGCAGTATCACGGCTGGGAGTATGCCGGCATGGTGGCAGTATCACGGCTGGGAGTATGCCGGCATGGTGGCAGTATCACGGCTGGGAGTATGCCGGCATGGTGGCAGTATCACGGCTGGGAGTATGCCGGCATGGTGGCAGTATCACGGCTGGGAGTATGCCGGCATGGTGGCAGTATCACGGCTGGGAGTATGCCGGCATGGTGGCAGTATCACGGCTGGGAGTATGCCGGCATGGCGGCAGTATCACGGCTGGGAGTATGCCGGCATGGCGGCAGTATCACGGCTGGGAGTATGCCGGCATGGCGGCAGTATCACGGCTGGGAGTATGCCGGCATGGCGGCAGTATCACGGCTGGGAGTATGCCGGCATGGTGGCAGTATCACGGCTGGGAGTATGCCGGCATGGCGGCAGTATCACGGCTGGGAGTATGCCGGCATGGTGGCAGTATCACGGCTGGGAGTATGCCGGCATGGTGGCAGTATCACGGCTGGGAGTATGCCGGCATGGTGGCAGTATCACGGCTGGGAGTATGCCGGCATGGTGGCAGTATCACGGCTGGGAGTATGCCGGCATGGTGGCAGTATCACGGCTGGGAGTATGCCGGCATGGTGGCAGTATCACGGCTGGGAGTATGCCGGCATGGTGGCAGTATCACGGCTGGGAGTATGCCGGCATGGTGGCAGTATCACGGCTGGGAGTATGCCGGCATGGTGGCAGTATCACGGCTGGGAGTATGCCGGCATGGTGGCAGTATCACGGCTGGGAGTATGCCGGCATGGTGGCAGTATCACGGCTGGGAGTATGCCGGCATGGTGGCAGTATCACGGCTGGGAGTATGCCGGCATGGTGGCAGTATCACGGCTGGGCTGGGAGTATGCCGGCATGGTGGCAGTATCACGGCTGGGAGTATGCCGGCATGGTGGCAGTATCACGGCTGGGAGTATGCCGGCATGGTGGCAGTATCACGGCTGGGAGTATGCCGGCATGGTGGCAGTATCACGGCTGGGAGTATGCCGGCATGGTGGCAGTATCACGGCTGGGAGTATGCCGGCATGGTGGCAGTATCACGGCTGGGAGTATGCCGGCATGGTGGCAGTATCACGGCTGGGAGTATGCCGGCATGGTGGCAGTATCACGGCTGGGAGTATGCCGGCATGGTGGCAGTATCACGGCTGGGAGTATGCCGGCATGGTGGCAGTATCACGGCTGGGAGTATGCCGGCATGGTGGCAGTATCACGGCTGGGAGTATGCCGGCATGGTGGCAGTATCACGGCTGGGAGTATGCCGGCATGGTGGCAGTATCACGGCTGGGAGTATGCCGGCATGGTGGCAGTATCACGGCTGGGAGTATGCCGGCATGGTGGCAGTATCACGGCTGGGAGTATGCCGGCATGGTGGCAGTATCACGGCTGGGAGTATGCCGGCATGGTGGCAGTATCACGGCTGGGAGTATGCCGGCATGGTGGCAGTATCACGGCTGGGAGTATGCCGGCATGGTGGCAGTATCACGGCTGGGAGTATGCCGGCATGGTGGCAGTATCACGGCTGGGAGTATGCCGGCATGGTGGCAGTATCACGGCTGGGAGTATGCCGGCATGGTGGCAGTATCACGGCTGGGAGTATGCCGGCATGGTGGCAGTATCACGGCTGGGAGTATGCCGGCATGGTGGCAGTATCACGGCTGGGAGTATGCCGGCATGGTGGCAGTATCACGGCTGGGAGTATGCCGGCATGGTGGCAGTATCACGGCTGGGAGTATGCCGGCATGGTGGCAGTATCACGGCTGGGAGTATGCCGGCATGGTGGCAGTATCACGGCTGGGAGTATGCCGGCATGGTGGCAGTATCACGGCTGGGAGTATGCCGGCATGGTGGCAGTATCACGGCTGGGAGTATGCCGGCATGGTGGCAGTATCACGGCTGGGAGTATGCCGGCATGGTGGCAGTATCACGGCTGGGAGTATGCCGGCATGGTGGCAGTATCACGGCTGGGAGTATGCCGGCATGGTGGCAGTATCACGGCTGGGAGTATGCCGGCATGGTGGCAGTATCACGGCTGGGAGTATGCCGGCATGGTGGCAGTATCACGGCTGGGAGTATGCCGGCATGGTGGCAGTATCACGGCTGGGAGTATGCCGGCATGGTGGCAGTATCACGGCTGGGAGTATGCCGGCATGGTGGCAGTATCACGGCTGGGAGTATGCCGGCATGGTGGCAGTATCACGGCTGGGAGTATGCCGGCATGGCGGCAGTATCACGGCTGGGAGTATGCCGGCATGGCGGCAGTATCACGGCTGGGAGTATGCCGGCATGGCGGCAGTATCACGGCTGGGAGTATGCCGGCATGGTGGCAGTATCACGGCTGGGAGTATGCCGGCATGGTGGCAGTATCACGGCTGGGAGTATGCCGGCATGGTGGCAGTATCACGGCTGGGAGTATGCCGGCATGGTGGCAGTATCACGGCTGGGAGTATGCCGGCATGGTGGCAGTATCACGGCTGGGAGTATGCCGGCATGGTGGCAGTATCACGGCTGGGAGTATGCCGGCATGGCGGCAGTATCACGGCTGGGAGTATGCCGGCATGGCGGCAGTATCACGGCTGGGAGTATGCCGGCATGGCGGCAGTATCACGGCTGGGAGTATGCCGGCATGGCGGCAGTATCACGGCTGGGAGTATGCCGGCATGGTGGCAGTATCACGGCTGGGAGTATGCCGGCATGGTGGCAGTATCACGGCTGGGAGTATGCCGGCATGGTGGCAGTATCACGGCTGGGAGTATGCCGGCATGGTGGCAGTATCACGGCTGGGAGTATGCCGGCATGGTGGCAGTATCACGGCTGGGAGTATGCCGGCATGGTGGCAGTATCACGGCTGGGAGTATGCCGGCATGGCGGCAGTATCACGGCTGGGAGTATGCCGGCATGGCGGCAGTATCACGGCTGGGAGTATGCCGGCATGGCGGCAGTATCACGGCTGGGAGTATGCCGGCATGGCGGCAGTATCACGGCTGGGAGTATGCCGGCATGGTGGCAGTATCACGGCTGGGAGTATGCCGGCATGGTGGCAGTATCACGGCTGGGAGTATGCCGGCATGGTGGCAGTATCACGGCTGGGAGTATGCCGGCATGGTGGCAGTATCACGGCTGGGAGTATGCCGGCATGGTGGCAGTATCACGGCTGGGAGTATGCCGGCATGGTGGCAGTATCACGGCTGGGAGTATGCCGGCATGGTGGCAGTATCACGGCTGGGAGTATGCCGGCATGGTAGCAGTATCACGGCTGGGAGTATGCCGGCATGGTGGCAGTATCACGGCTGGGAGTATGCCGGCATGGTGGCAGTATCACGGCTGGGAGTATGCCGGCATGGTGGCAGTATCACGGCTGGGAGTATGCCGGCATGGTGGCAGTATCACGGCTGGGAGTATGCCGGCATGGTGGCAGTATCACGGCTGGGAGTATGCCGGCATGGTGGCAGTATCACGGCTGGGAGTATGCCGGCATGGTGGCAGTATCACGGCTGGGAGTATGCCGGCATGGTGGCAGTATCACGGCTGGGAGTATGCCGGCATGGTGGCAGTATCACGGCTGGGAGTATGCCGGCATGGTGGCAGTATCACGGCTGGGAGTATGCCGGCATGGTGGCAGTATCACGGCTGGGAGTATGCCGGCATGGTGGCAGTATCACGGCTGGGAGTATGCCGGCATGGTGGCAGTATCACGGCTGGGAGTATGCCGGCATGGTGGCAGTATCACGGCTGGGAGTATGCCGGCATGGTGGCAGTATCACGGCTGGGAGTATGCCGGCATGGTGGCAGTATCACGGCTGGGAGTATGCCGGCATGGTGGCAGTATCACGGCTGGGAGTATGCCGGCATGGTGGCAGTATCACGGCTGGGAGTATGCCGGCATGGTGGCAGTATCACGGCTGGGAGTATGCCGGCATGGTGGCAGTATCACGGCTGGGAGTATGCCGGCATGGTGGCAGTATCACGGCTGGGAGTATGCCGGCATGGTGGCAGTATCACGGCTGGGAGTATGCCGACCTGGCTGGCCTTGCGCGCCGTGCGCTGTCCCAGCCCGTTTCCGCCGCCTCGTGCGAGCGGGGCTGGGCCACTTGGGACGGCGTGCACACGGCGCGCAGGAACAGGCTCGGGTCGGAGAAGGTGCGCGACCTTGTGTACGTTGCGCACAACTGGAATGTTGTGCACAACCACCACAAGGGTGCGGCTGTTGCAGGGCCTAGTGGGGTGAAGGAAGGGGGGGATCGTGGAGGGGAACATTCCCACCCTCCCCCTCCCCGAGGGGTACAAGTTGGGGGAGGATGGGGAGGTGGAGGTGAATGAGGACGACATGTGCGTGGATGAGCACGATGGGCAGGAGGACGAGGAGGACGCGGAGGAGGCCGAGAAGGACGGGGAGGAGGCCTAGATGGCGTGATTACTGTAGTTTGCTTAGTCCTATGTGATTAAGTAACATTGTGACCAATTGTGACCTTTGGGAAAGTAATTTTATGTAGGAGAATATTTATGTGGGGGACAATTTTGGCCCAACGATGTCATATGTCCATCTCCCCCTCCTCCCAATGCCCTGTGAGATGTTTTTTTGCCAGACCGTACGTTCTTTTGACCCTGCCCGCCCCTGCGTTTTTTCCGCGTTTCGGGAACCGACCATTCTGCGTTCAGCGTTTTAAACGCTGCGTTTAAACGCCAGCGTTCAAAACGCTGAATCGTCACACAGCCGCACACCATGCCGCACACACAGCCATGCCATGCCACACACACAGCCATGCCATGCCACACACACAGCCATGCCATGCCACACACACAGCCATGCCATGCCACACACACAGCCATGCCATGCCACACACCCAGCCATGCCATGCCACACACCCAGCCATGCCATGCCACACACCCAGCCATGCCATGCCGCAAACCCAGCCATGCCATGCCGCACACACAGCCATGCCATGCCGCACACACAGCCATGCCATGCCGCACACACAGCCATGCCATGCCACACACCCAGCCATGCCATGCCACACACCCAGCCATGCCATGCCACACACCCAGCCATGCCATGCCACACACCCAGCCATGCCATGCCGCAAACCCAGCCATGCCATGCCGCACACACAGCCATGCCATGCCGCACACACAACCATGCCATGCCGCACACACAGCCATGCCATGCCGCACACACAGCCATGCCATGCCGCACATACAGTCATGCCATGCCGCACACACAGCCATGCCATGCCGCACACACAGCCATGCCATGCCGCACCGCACACCCAGCCATGGAAGCGTTTACTCTCGTCACATCTCCCTGTGGCTCGCCGGTGCACCCCCTCACCCCGTGCACCCCTCACCCCGTGCACCCCTCACCCCGTGCACCCCCTCACCCCGTGCACCCCCTCACCCCGTGCACCCCCTCACCCCGTGCACCCCTCACCCCGTGCACCCCCTCACCCCGTGCACCCCCTCACCCCGTGCACCCCCTCACCCCGTGCACCCCCTCACCCCGTGCACCCCCTCACCCCGTGCACCCCTCACCCCGTGCACCCCCTCACCCCGTGCACCCCCTCACCCCGTGCACCCCTCACCCCGTGCACCCCTCACCCCGTGCACCCCCTCACCCCGTGCACCCCCTCACCCCGTGCACCCCTCACCCCGTGCACCCCTCACCCCGTGCACCCTCACCCCGTGCACCCCCTCACCCCGTGCACCCTCACCCCGTGCACCCCCTCACCCCGTGCAACCCCTCACCCCGTGCAACCCCTCACCCCGTGCACCCCCTCACCCCGTGCACCCCCTCACCCCGTGCACCCCTCACCCCGTGCACCCCCTCACCCCGTGCACCCCTCACCCCGTGCACCCCTCACCCCGTGCACCCTCACCCCGTGCACCCCCTCACCCCGTGCACCCTCACCCCGTGCACCCCCTCACCCCGTGCAACCCCTCACCCCGTGCAACCCCTCACCCCGTGCAACCCCTCACCCCGTGCAACCCCTCACCCCGTGCAACCCCTCACCCCGTGCACCCCTCACCCCGTGCACCCTCACCCATCTCTCCATATGCGTGCAGGCCGCCCTGGCAGCCAAGCGCCTGCTGGCCGCCGTGGAGGCCGACGGCTGCCCTGTCACCAGGTGAGGGCAGCGGTGGGTGAGGGCAGCGGTGGGTGAGGGCAGCGGTGGGTGAGGTGAGGGCAGCGGTGGGTGAGGGCAGCGGTGGGTGAGGGCAGCGGTGGGTGAGGGCAGCGGTGGGTGAAGGCAGCGGTGGGTGAGGTAGTGGTGAGGGCAGCGGTGGGTGAGGTAGTGGTGAGGGCAGCGGTGGGTGAGGTAGTGGTGAGGGCAGCGGTGGGTGAGGTAGTGGTGAGGGCAGTGGTTGGCATGGAATGGGTGGGGTGGGGATTGCATGGGAGGGCAGGATGCTTGGTGCTGCATGGCATGCCATCATGGTCTGCTCCTTCCCTCCACTCCCACATCCACCATCTGCCCTGCTGTGGCGGCAACGCGTCCAATGGAGTGCACCCCTTGCCCGCCCTGCGTGACCACAGGGAGGTGTACGAGGTGGCCATCGCAGTGCACGTGCGCAGTGGTGATGGCTCCACCGCCCTGCACCTGCACCGCCTCATGGACGCCGCCCATGCCGCCCCGCCTGCTGCCCATGCCGCCCCGCCTGCTGCCCATGCCGCCCCGCCTGCCCGTGAGGATGGTACCCCGCCTGCCCGTGAGGATGGTACCGCGCCTGCCCGTGAGGATGGTACCGCGCCTGCCCGTGAGGATGGTACCGCACCTGCCCGTGAGGATGGTACCGCACCTGCCCGTGAGGATGGTACCGCGCCTGCCCGTGAGGATGGTACCGCACCTGCCCGTGAGGATGGTACCGCGCCTGCCCGTGAGGATGGTACCGCACCTGCCCGTGAGGATGGTACCGCACCTGCTCGTGAGGATGGTACCGCGCCTGCCCGTGAGGATGGAACCGCGCCTGCCCGTGAGGATGGTACCGCACCTGCCCGTGAGGATGGTACCCCGCCTGCCCGTGAGGATGGCACCCCGCCTGCTCCCCAGGGTGGCGTTGAGAGAGCCTCGCATGGTGCTTCCTCCGCAGCATGTGGGGACGCCACGCCTCCAGCGCAGGGCAGTGGGTTGCAGGCAGGGGAGACGTTGGAAGAAGCATTGCGATTGGAGGGGGGTGGAGATGGGCGAAGAGGTGGGGAGGTGTGGAGTGGAGCAGCACGGCGAGTAGCAGATGGGAGCACCATTGGCGCCACCAGCATGGCTTCTATACATTGTGACCAGCCCAGCCCGCGCAGCAGCAGCAGCAGCAGCAGCAGCAGCAGCAGCAGCAGCGGTGACGGCGGTGGCAGCAGCAACGACAACATAAACAGAAGTGAGGGCAACATGAGCAGCAGGGAGGGCAACATGAGCAGCAGCGAGGAAGCTTCCTCGGAGCTCACGTTTCTGGAAGCCATTGATGCCGCCCTCACCCACGCCCTGGCTCAGGTGTGCCCTCCCCCACGCCCTGGCTCAGGTGTGCCCTCCCCCACGCCCTGGCTCAGGTGTGCCCTCCCCCACGCCCTGGCTCAGGTGTGCCCTCCCCCACGCCCTGGCTCAGGTGTGCCCTCCCCCACGCCCTGGCTCGGGTGTGCCCTCCCCCACGCCCTGGCTCAGGTGTGCCCTCCCCCACGCCCTGGCTCAGGTGTGCCCTCCCCCACGCCCTGGCTCAGGTGTGCCCTCCCCCACGCCCTGGCTCAGGTGTGCCCTCCCCCACGCCCTGGCTCAGGTGTGCCCTCCCCCACGCCCTGGCTCAGGTGTGCCCTCCCCCATGCCCTTTGCCGCCGTCCCTGCCACTGTCCTTTGCCGCTGTCCCTTCCACCTGTGTGGGGTGTGTGCAAGTGTGTGTTGCCTCGCTGCCCCTCCTACAGGACATTGCATGCGCCAGCACTGGCTGCGCGCGCCGCAGCATGGGCGGTGGCGCGGGGAGGGGCACGGCGCATGGAGGGCACGGCAGTGACAGGGTGGGGGGTGCGTGCAGTGAGGAGGAGGGGAGGGAGAGAGGCGCGGGGGAGGGCAGTGGATGCAGGGAGGTGGGGCGCATGGATGGGCAGGCGGGTGGCAGTGGCCAGTGGGAGGAGGCAGTGGGAGCCACGAGGACGAACGAGGCTGACTCGGGTGGTGTTTCCGGATTGGTTGCTGACCTGGCAGCCTCGGGCATTCGGGTGAAACCACGGTGAGAGGGCATGGTGGAAGATTAGGGTGAGTGAGGGAGAAGGGTGAGTGAGGGAGAAGGGTGAGTGAGGGAGAAGGGTGAGTGAGGGAGAAGGGTGAGTGAGGGAGAAGGGTGAGTGAGGGAGAAGGGTGAGTGAGGGAGAAAGGTTGAGTGAGGTAGAAGGGTGAGTGAGGGAGAAGGGTGAGTAAGGGAGAAAGGTTGAGTGAGGTAGAAGGGTGAGTGAGGGAGAAGGTTGAGTGAGGGAGAAGGGTGAGTGAGGGAGAAGTGTGAGTGAGGGAGAAGTGTGAGTGAGGGAGCAGGGTGGGTAAGAATGCTGTGGCGGTTTTCTTTACAACAAGCAGCAGCAGGCTGTGTGTCATGCAGCCTGTGTGTCATGCAGCCTGTGTGTCATGCAGCCTGTGTGTCATGCAGGCTGTGTGTCATGCAGGCGCGCATGCGCTTGCATGTGGCCCTGCCACGTGCCAACCATCTTCACCCGTGCCCCCTCTCAGGGGGGGGTGGAGCCTCTCCTCCTCTCACCATGCTGCTCGCCCCCCCTCCCCCCTCCCCCCTCCCCCCCTCCCCCCTCCCCCCTGGCCCCTACAGCGCGGTGCAGAGCGCCATCCGCCAGCTGCTGCTGCACGACCACCGCCACGCCGCCCCCTCCACCGCTGCTGCACCCCCCGCCCGCCCCACCCACCCGCCTGCACCCGCCGCCACTGCCATCACCATCCGCCGCCCAGCCGCCAGCAGCGAGGCAGCAGGGAGAGTGGGCGAGGTGGAGAGGGCAGAGGCGAGTGAGGAGGAGGCAGCGCGGAGGGGAAGCAGCGGTGGGGGGGACAGCGATGGCGACGCCGTGCCGTGGCTGGAGCGCGCCATCAGCCTCGTGGATGCTCTGCCCCGCCTGGTGGGTTTAGGGTGTCATGCCGCGCCTGGTGGGTTTAGGGTGTCATGCCGCGCCTGGTGGGTGATGTGATGCCGCGCCTGGTGGGTGTTGGCACGGGCGTGACTGTGATGGCATGGGTGTGATGGCACGGGTGTGATGGCACGGGTGTGATGGCACGGGTGGGATGGCACGGGTGTGATTGGGCTTGAACGGAAGTGAGTTTCTTTTGATATCCAATGGCACCTGGATCTTGCTCTCTCACCCTTGCTTCTTGAGCCCTTCTCACACACACCCGTGCATTCACTCATACTCAACCCCCAACTAACGGTTGTGGAGAGTTGCATTGCACAACATGCTTCTGCTATTGGACATGAGGAAAGTATCGAGGGGGGGCTTTCATTTGCCTGTGCGGATCGAGTCAAACTGCTTCTACCAGCTCCACCAGTCGACGGCCGCACAGTGAGTGCCCCGTGTTGGGGCCACACGAAGGAAGCTGGAGCTCGTTTGTGAAACATAACATTGATGTGGACCGTGGTTTTCAGCAATACCCGTGATGGGATGATGGGATGATGGGATTCCACGAGGGTGTGGACGGCACAGGTGAGGGTCAAGGGGAGGGACGTCAGCATTCAAGCAGCAGAGAAAGACAGTAATGGGGGGGGGGCCAGTGGTGCTGTGGGCAGTGGTGCAGGGGGCAGCACGGGAGGTCCTTAGCTGGCCCTTGATTGCACCCCTCTCCCTGGACACTCCCATGTGTGTCTGTGTGTGTGCATGTGTGTGTGTGTGCGCGCGCGCGCGTGTGTGCGTGCGTGTGTGTGTGTGCGTGTGTGTGCGGGTGCGTGTGCGTGTGTGTGTGTGTGTGTGCATGTGCGTGTGTGTGCGTGTGCGTGTGTGTGTGCATGTGCTCGTGTGTGCGTGTGTGTGCGTGTGCGTGTGTGTGTGTGTCGGTGTGTGTGTGTGTGTGTTGGTGTGTGTGTGTGTCGGTGTGTGTGTGTGTCCGTGTGTGTGCGTGTGTGCATGCACACGGCACAGCAGTTCGCCCAGCAGCCAACGGCCTATGTGTATGCGGAGCTGCTGCGAGCATGTGTGCGAAAGCGCCAGTGGAGGCGGGGGGAGCAGCTGTGGCAGCAGATGGGGGCGGCGGGCGTGCAGGCGGACGTGCCGTGCTGGCAGGCCCGTCTGCGCTGCCTGGGGGCTCTTGGCCGCGTGGCAGGCGCGTCGCACGAGCTGCTGGCGGAGGCGGCAGCGGGAGGCACGGCCATGGAGCGACCTGTGGGGGGCACGGCGATGGAGCGCCACCCCGACCTGCTGCGGTGCGCTGCTTCCCTCTGCCCTGGACCATGCTGCCTTGCATTGCATCTTGCCCGTTCCCCTTTTCACTTGGCCCCTTGCCCATTTCTTGGCCTTTGCCCCTTTGACCCTTGCTGCTTGTCCTTAACAACTTTTCCTTGCCCTTTGCCCCTTGCCCTTTCTCCTTCGCCTTTCCTGCTTGCCCCTCTTTCTCCTTTGACTTTGTTCCTTGCCCATTGCCTGTTGTCCTTCGCCTAAACCCTGGCTCCTTGTGCTTTCTCCTTCGCCTTTACCACCTACTGGTACCCTTGCCCTAGTCCATGTGCCATACACCATGTGATCCCCCCTGCTCGCCCCAGCAGTGCACTGCTGAGGGAGTGCCAGCGGGCCAATGACAGTGACGGGGCAGCCTTTGTGCGCAACATGCTCGCAATGTCCCAGCGGCACTCGTAAACCCCCCCTTTACAAATGTCACGGTGAATGGCCCATTCGTGTACCAGCTGATGCCGTCCCTTAGCCATGCTGGACGCACACACTAGACTGGATGATGTCTTGATATGAAGATTACAGCAAGCAAGATCCACATTGTCTGCAAGGTCCTGTCCTGTCTACGGGTGCTGCTATGGAGTTTTGGCAGCTAGATTACTTGCGATTGGTCAGTTTTACAGTTTCACTCTTGTCATTGCGTGAATTCTCATAGTCTCTTTGTCTTCACCTGCCAACACTCTTTGTCACATCGTCTTTCCCATGCCCGGCCAGCCCGAGGTGGAGTGATCCGCCCCCCCTTGCCTGTGCGCACAGCGGCATCGTAGGCCCGCAGTCTAATAGAGTACATCAGAATGATTGGATTAGGAAGGAAGGGTGATACAAATACCGTATGGCCCCGGATATAGGCGCCGTCCGATTAAAGGCGCCGGCGCTTCTATCTGGAGCATGGCGCTTATGGCCGGAATTCGATTATAAGCGCCCCCCCTAGAAAACCTTTACTTATTATAAGCGCATATGCAATTAAATTTTAAATTCTTGCTTAAAACAGTAACGAAATCCATTTTTGCAGCGAGTCAGATTTCAATTTCGCTATATTTGACTCGCGAAGACCTGACTGGCTGCGCATCCAGTCAGGATGTGCTGGCATGACGTGGCTTTGCCTGTGTGTGAACCCAGAATATCGCTTGCGCGAGATTCTGCATTGTGACGCTAAAACGTTTCGACTCGGTTGAAATGGCAAGAATAAAATGAACAATTTGGTGCTCTAAATATATAATTGTTTTATTTGTCATTATATAAGCGCCGGCGCTTATGGCCGTTACTCAATTACAAGTGCCCCCCCTCAAAAAAATGAATTTATTATAAGCGTATATGCGCTTATATCCGGGGTGATACGGTATGAACCCTAATGTGTTATACCCTCTACAGCGTACCTCACTACAGTCTACCGTATAACCCCGGATAGTAGCGCAGTTGCGCTTATAATAAAACATGATTTTTGAGGGGGTGCGTTTATAATTGAGTAAACTTTATAAGCACATGCGCTTGTAAAACGATAAGAATGAAAGTAACTTTTAAACATAACAAATTGAAGCCCACAATATAGCGAACACAGCCCTATCACGTTCACGTGGGCTCGTGTATGGAAACCAGGCGAAAACAACCGCGCTGCCATTTCCTACCGCACATTTGCGTCGAGAAGCGTCGCACATGCCAGCGCTGACGCGAATGTTGCCGTGCGGCCCAATCAAAGCTTCATGCGCTGCCAGGCAGGAGCATTTCAACCGAACCCTCCATAAGGGGGTGGAAGATTCCCTGCCAGCGCAGCGGCTTGGTTACCACGCATGCGTCCTCTGCGGGTTCAGGCGGGGGTTTTGTCAAACATTGTATGTTTATATTGTCTGGGCTATAGTGGGTTTAGCCATAGGGGGTACAACAAACTTAGGGTTTCCTACTTGTACCCAACTTTCTGCTAGTTCAATCATTCCTGTTTCATTCTTTCTCACATGGTTTCAGAGCAGGTCCTCCGCTAGGACCGATTTTTCTTAGGGCCCACCACTACTGACTGCCTACTAGCGCCCTCGTGCGCCCTACTGTCGGAGCGCCCTCGAGCGCCTCCCCCAGCGCCCTCGTGCGCCCCTCTTTAACGGCCCCGTAAGGCCCCGCGACCCGCGACCCGCCCCTTAGCGACCCGCGCGCCGCCCCTTAGAGGCCCCCCTCACGGCCGCGTCGACCCCGCGCGCAGCCCCTTAGAGGCCCCGTCGGCCCCGTCGACCCCGCGCGCGCCCCACCTTAGCGGCCCCGTCGGCCCCGTCGACCCCGTGCGCGCCCCCCCTTAGCGGCCCCGTCGGCCCCGTCGACCCCACGCGCCGCCCCTTAGCGCCACGCACAGCAGCCCCAACAGCCCCGCACGCGACAGCCACGGCCCCGCCAGAACCGAGCCGCCCGAACCGAGCCGCCCGAACCGAGCCGCCCGAACCGAGCCGCCCGAACCGAGCCGCCCGAACCGAGCCGCCCGAACCGAGCCGCCCAGCCCGAGCCGAGCCGCGCCGCCCGAACCGAACCGCGCCGCCCTCCCCGTACTGAGCAGCCCTCTCTGGACGGAGCCGCCCTACCTGAGTCGCACTGCCTGCTGCTTTTAGGGTTTCACCTGCTGCTACTACTGCTACTGTTCCTGCTGCTGCTACTGCTGCTACTGCTGCTACTCCTACTGCTACTATGGCTAGCCCCGCCGTACTCGCTTTCGATGCCGAGGGCCGCCCACTGCAGTTTGACACCTGGCTCGATGACTTGCACCTGTTCCTCCAGCTCACTGCCAAGGAGGAGATATCGCTGTACGATCACGCACTAGGCCTCGCTACTGCCCCTGCTGCCACTGCCTCTAGCACTGACCGCTCTCAGTGGCAGACCCGTGACGCTCACGCTCGCTTTGCCATTCGCAACTCCCTGCCGGTAGACGAGCGCGCGCACTTTGGCCAGCAGAAGACTGCTGCTGCTCTTTACACTGCTGTAGTTGCACGCTATCCCTCGCTGCCCTACATGTTTCCCGACCTAGCCGCTTTCTCCACAGTCGCTGACCTCATCACGCACCTCCGCACTAGTGAGGCCCGCTTCCGTTCCGCCATGCCAGCTGAGTTCCTTGCCACTCACCCCCCCCCGCTCTGGCTCACTCTCTACCACCTAGTCACGCGCCTCCCTGACTCCCTTCGCGCAGTCAGGGACCACTTCCTAGCGCGCTGCCCTACCGAGCTCACCATTGACCTCCTCGAGAAGGAACTGCTTGCAGCTGAGAAGAGTATTGTAGCTGTAGGTGCCTCTCGTGGCGACCCCCGCACCCCCTTCTTTGAGGGGTGTTCCCCCTCCCCCCTGCTCCCCTCTGTCGCCTCTGCTACTGCTGTCGGCCTTCTTGGTACTGAGCAGGTCGGGACTGCGTCCGCTCCGAGCTGGCGCCGCAGCGGCAAGGGCAAAGGGGGCAAGGGAGGTGGAGGTGACGGCGGGGGAGGTGGTGGTGGGGGCGGTGGCGGTGGTGGGGGTGGTGGCGGGACTGGAGGGGCTAGTGGCAGCGGTGGGGGTGGAGGCGGCAGCAGCGGAGGAGGTGGCCGGGGTGGGGGCGGTGGTTGGGGAGGCGGTGGTGGTCGCGGTGGTGGCGGCGGCGGTGGTGGTCGTGGAGGCGCTGGCGGTGGCCAGAGCCAGCAGCACACTCCGTCGTCCCAGGAGCTTCGTGAGTGGTACTCTCAGCACGGGGGGGGGGGTGGCCTTAGCTGTACGTACGTCATCCGCACTGGTGACCGCACTGGCCAGACGTGTGGGAGGGCGCACACCACGCAGCGCTGCTTCTCCCGCCTTGACGACGCTTGGCGCACTCAGTTCCCTGCTGCCACTGAGCTGCCCCGCTGGGCTGACCCGATGAAGAAGAACATTGATATCTATGCTCTTGATTTCGATGCTATTCTCACTGCCATGTATGTGTTGTCTACTAGTGGAGAGGGTGATCAGTACCTGCGTGTTCCGCCCGACCCGGGCATTCGGACCAGTGAGGCTGCCGCTCTAGGTGCTTGCGTGTCTGCTGCCCCAGGTGCTGGTGAGGCTGCTGCTCTAGGTGCTTGCGTGTCTGCTGCCCCAGGGGCTGGTGAGGCTACTGCTCTAGGTGCTAGTGCGTCTGCGCCCCCTGGTACTGAGTCCACTGAGGCACTGCACACCTTCACTCTAGACTCAGGAGCTTCTCGCTGTTTCTTTCGTGACCGCACTGCCCTTGAGCAGCTTGCCCGGCCAGTTGCTGTCTCCCTTGCTGACCCCTCTGGGGGTCCGGTCATTGCGACCTCCTCCACTGTCCTTCCTTGTCCTGCGGTTCCGTCGGGCACACTGTCCGGTATCCACCTCCCCTCGTTCTCCACGAACTTGGTGGCGGGTTGTGCGCTCCAGGACGGGGGTGTCCACCAGTTCACCCCTGCCTACGAGCGCGTGACACACTGCACGTGTGCTCGGACGGGCCGTCACCTGGCTACCTTCACTAGGCAGTCGGGGTCGGACCTGTACACACTGACCACTGAGTCCCCTCAGGTAGCTGCGTCTGCGTCTGCGTCAGGTCAGCTGTCTGCCCCCTGCTCGTGTCGCTCTCTCGCGCACGAGACTGTCCTCTGGCACCACCGCCTTGGTCACCCGTCAGTGCAGCGCCTTCGTGCCATGCACAAACGGTACCTTGTCTCTGGTCTTCCCCGGGTACTCCCTCCCCTCCCACCCTCGCCTGCTCCTCCCTGTCTTCCTTGTGTCGAGGGGCGGCAGCGCACCGCTCCTCACTCCTCCTCGTTTCCCCCGACGACTGCTCCCTTGCAGACGCTCCACATGGACGTGTGGGGCCCAGCCAGCGTCCGTGGACAGGGTCAGGAGAGGTACTTCCTGATAGTTGTTGACGACTACTCGCGCTACACCACGGTCTTCCCCTTGCGCACCAAGGGTGAGGTCCCTGATGTTTTGATCCCTTGGATCAGCGCCACTCGTCTCCAGCTCAGCGAGCGGTTCCGCTCGGACTTTCCTGTCTTGCGTCTGCACTCTGACAGAGGTGGTGAGTTCTCCTCCGACCTCTTGGCAGCCTACTGTGCGGAGCACGGCATCCGCCAGTCGTTCACGCTTCCGGCCTCTCCACAGCAGAATGGGGTTGCTGAGCGCCGCATTGGCTTAGTCATGGAGGTCGCTCGTACCTCCTTGATCCATGCGGCTTCCCCCCACTTTCTGTGGCCGTTTGCGGTCCAATACGCTGCGCATCAGCTCAACCTTTGGCCCCGTGTCTCCTTGCCGGAGACCTCGCCCACACTGCTGTGGACGGGGAAGGTTGGCGATGCGTCGCGTTTCCGGGTCTGGGGATCTCGAGCTTTTGTCCGCGATACGTCTGCGGACAAGCTCTCCTCCCGCGCTGTTCCTTGTGTCTTCCTTGGCTTTGTCCCGGACGCGTCTGGTTGGCAGTTTTACCACGCCACCTCGCGCCGTGTCCTGCCCTCTCAGGACGTCACTTTTGACGAGTCGGTGCCCTACTACCGCCTCTTCCCCTACCGCACTGCCCCGCTCCCCCCACCGCCTCTCTTCCTCGCACCAGGTGCTGCTGTGGTAGACCCCCTCCCCCCTCAGGGTGCCGCTCCCTCAGGTGTGTCCCAGGTAGACCCGGTTGAGCCTGTTGAGGTAGCTGTCGACTCTCGTCCTGCTCGGGGTGCTGAGCCTGAGCGTGCGGAGCCTGGGGGTGCGGAGCCTGGGGTTGCGGAGTCTGGGGGTGCGGAGCCTGCAGGTGCTGAGTCTGGGGGTGTGGAGCCTGGAGGTGCTGAGTCTGGGGGTG